CTCTCCCCAAAGCCTCCTTCCCCGGTCTCTCCTCAGGCATCTCTACCCCACCCTGCCCCTGCCTTTGCCAGAGACCAGGGTAAGTGGCTGCAAATACACATGTATGCGTTGGCCCTTTAAAAGGCTCTTTGAGTCTCCAGCTGCCTGGCTCTGGCAGAGAGCAACCCTGCCGCTTTTTGCAGCTGGCTGTTATCTGTGTACTTTTGGGGCTCTGGTGTTGTAGGCTGGAGATCCTCGCTTACTGTTTAGACCCTGCTCTTCTCAGGGAGAATCCAACTGGCTGTTTCATTATCCTTCTGGTGCTGCCGCCCGAGGGTGCCCCTCCCGCCTTCTCGAGTTTCTGCCGCACTCCTTACCAGGTAGGTTGTGCTAAAGCTGATTCTTCTGTCTGTTCCAGGTTATAAGGCTCCCCTCTTGCTATTGTTCAGCTCTTTGTTCCAGGTGATTTCTCCACAGTTTAGTTGTAATTCCAGATTGATTCAGGGAGGTGGTCAGTGTGACTTCCATTCACTCCTCTGCCATCTTGATTTTTCCCTCTCCTTCTTAATTCACCTTCATAATTCTGAATGTTTCTGCTGCTTCATTGTTTTCCTTCCTGCCCTGCCTCTTCCTCTTTCTCCTCTTTTCTATTTCCTCCTGCATTTTAGTGCTTTCCTCTCATTTTGAATATCTGCTGATACATTGTTTATTAGGTTTGTTGGGTGAGATAACCTAAGTATGACCTGACACATGTTCTGTAACAAACTGTAGGGGTTTTTTTGTTTGTTTGTTTTTCCAATACTGTCGCTACCCAGGTACCCAGGTAGGGCTCCACCATTAGAATCTGTATTTTGGATAGACTTCTTTGCCCTTGGTGCTGAGAGACTGCTCTCAGAGAGAACAGGCCTTGGGAGAATGACAGTAGAGAGGAGGAAATTCAGAAGGGGTCAAAGTTGTCAGGTCAGGACTTATCGTGCATGTGGGTGCATCTGGGCAAGCATGTGTGTTTTGCAGTCCAAGGTGGATGCAGGCTATGTCCTTGGCAGTGTAAGGATAGTTCATAAATTCAGTCATCCTCCCTTACTTATACTTTGAAATTCCCACCTTAACTGTGTGTGCTTTATGATTACAGACCATTAGAGACCATTAGTAAATGAACTATGAGATTTTGATTATGAAATGCAAACTGTCTTGTGAAATGCAAACTCAGTTTCACATATTAATTGCTTCTAATTAAGGAGGGACATTTTAGCCAATTAGCTTTTAGAATTTAAGTGTAATCAGAAGGCTAATTCAGAGATTTGTTAATTGCCTCCCTCATTGCAGCTATTTGCCTTTAGTGCAGACATACAGTCTGTGTGCAAATGGTGGGTGAGAGGCCCAGATGTTCTTGTGCTGTAGTAGTTGACTGTAGACAGAAGTCCCCCATACTTTTGAAATTAACACGTTAAGCAAATGAGGTGGGGGGAATGAGGGAGGTAAGAGAGAATAAGAACACCAGACTGGACTAGATCCAAGTTCTAAACTGACTTCACTATTGAAGGTGTTGGCTAATGTTAGGCATGTCATATCACTTCTCCAGATTTCTTGGATAAAATATGGTGAAGTTTTCATACAGCATCCAGGATTCACAACAAAGTCCAATGATTTGTGTAACCTTCCATGATTCCATGTGAGGTGGGAACTGTATAGGAAAAGAAAAAAGCATTCATTGATAGATGGCCCAGGTGTGTTTACTGACACTTCAGCAGTCACAATACTCAAATATTATGGGCTAGCAACTGCTCCGGCAGCCATGGATGTTTTGAAGGAGAAGGTCTTTGTTTCTTGGCACTCCATTCCACTCTTATTTTTCTTCATACTTCTTCATCATTTTAATGGTCTTTTCCAGTGTGGGCCTCACTTTCTGGATGCCTAACCATGTCTCCTCTGATAGACAGCTGTTCTCTCAATACACAGCAGAGAGCATCCTGCTTTGCTCTGTTCTTGCCTCATCTTGCTTCTCTTTCTACAAGAGGCTCTCAACCTACCACTGCTGCTGCTGCTTGAACTCAGTAATTACCAAGATTTTTCTTTTGGCCCTTGACTTGGGCTTAGTGCTGCAATCTTCATTATTATATAATAACTCACCAGTCAGAACTTGCTCATCTATTTCTCCTCCATCTACATGATTATTTTCTTTATAAAAATAAAACAGGTTTTTTTTCCACCTCCCCCCACCCCTCTCCACAGGAATATAAGCTGTTGTCATTATGTACAAAGATGGTGCTGTTGACATGCATTTCCTGGGCTTGTGTTAGTGTGAACTCTTATCTGATCATCTTTTGCCTTGTTGGTAGCTTACATCTCACACTCCTGTATCCTCAGCCTTCAGGCCTGTGGATGGGAAGCAGATGAATGCAGAGAACTGTCCAGGAAAAAAGGAATGTAAAGGGGTCACCTGACTTTGTGTTTGCCTCTTTTGGGTGGCACTGCTGGCAGGGGTATCTCATTGTCAGGGCAAACGCTCTCCACAAGGTCAGTTCCCTTCACTGCATCTCAGTGGAAAGGCCTCACTGTCTTTGCTTTGAGAGAGGAAATCCTCACGGAGGATGCATGCAAACCTGGCCATCAACGTCCTTATGCTGGCTGTTGTAATTTCCTGACAGGGAAAGATGGTGTCCAACATGCCCTCCATTACAACAATGTGAACAATTAAAACTGATTCCTGTTTGAGGTGGGTTCTCATTAGGTGCAGCCTTCATTAAAAGTATTTAAACCTTGGCAAATATTCTTTTTAGATGATTAATAGGTCATCTCCACTTTTCCTTTTAGGAGGTCAGTTGCCAGTTACCAAAAATGAAACACCTGCTTTTACATCAACGTGGCTGCTGCCCGAAATTGAGCAGCATGCAGCATTCCCGAAGCTGTTAAATATGCATGTTGTGCCAAAAAAAATGGGGCCTTATGTTTACCTAAGTCCTGAATAAATATGGTGGATTTTGGGACACAGATCTGATTAAAAACTTCTCCCTAGGCCAACATGAAAACTAAGTTAGCTTACTTAGGTATATGTAACTTATAAAGAACTTAAGATTAGATGGCAATGAATGGTCATTTTGGTGGAATAAAGCACATAAAAAAGTGTCTTTCAATTTGAATTCCAGTTAAATGCAATTTTTTCCATGTTCAATTTCAGGAAGTACATACTCCTCCATGACTTCTGAATGAACCAAGTGAGCATTATGTATGAAAGTCGCTACTGAAGGGCTTAGGAACAGATTGCTGATTATATCAAGAGAAGGCAGGAAGAGGTTATAAGAGAAAAAATGCTTAATATTTTATTTTTTTTCCAGGAAAGTATCCTTTGATGAGGACGTTGTATTACCTGAGCATCTTACTCCTCGGTCAGAGTTTACTGTATACTTCAAATGCCTCGAGGGGCTCAGGAAGTATAAATCCTTCCCATAGTAACTCTCACAGTGCTGTACAAGTGCCCTTGCTACCTTAGAGGTGGGGAACTCCTAAGAGGCTGAGAGGTGGTGATTGAACCAGAACTCAGTGTGGGAACCCCAGAGGTTGTTCTGATTCTCATTTGACTCTTAATGTCTCCTCTTGTCCGGACCTTACCATAACCATCATTGCTTCCAACCTCCGGAAGTCAGTGAGGGACACCCATCTTTAATGTATACACAGATGAGAACCCAGGGGTTCCAAGGTTTCAAGTGACTTGCCCAAGTCAGAGTGGGTCAACAGGAACCCTCAGTGGGGAGGGAGAAGAGGCTCGGGCCTGGTGTGGGCCTCCCAACCCTGCCCGTTAGATCAGGAGCCCACACCCTCTGCTGAGGTCCTGCCCCACAGCGGTGGCAGAGCACTTAGAAGGGAATTCTTTCTGGACTCCCAGACACAAGTGCAGAATTCATGGGTCTCCTCACTTTCCTGCAGGTGAGCATGTGTTTTTGTGGAAAGACTAGAGAGGAGTCGGGATCTGTATGTTGTTTCCAGATCTAGCCTGCTTGGCCATACAGCCTGAGTCAAATGATAGAATCAAAGCTACAATCAACTGGAAGGAATTCAGGGATCGCTTCTGCTGGTGCATCAGAACCACAAGGACAGTTCATTAAATAAAGCTGATTCCTAAAATTCTGATTCAGTTGGTCTGGGATGGCCCCGAAGCCCCTGTTTCTCTAGCAAGTTCCCAAGGCAGGCCAATGCTGCACGCCCATGGACCTCACAATACCTGAGCATCACTGGCCTATCATAACCTTGTTGTAAATGAGTTGGCAAACTCTTTTAAGGGCCAGTTGGTAAATATTTTAGTCTTCGTAAGCCATACAGTCTTGTTGAAACTATTCAACTCTGCCCTTGTAGCTCAAAAGTGGCCATGGGCACCTGCGTGTGAATGTGTCTTAGAAATTTCTACAAAAACAGGAGGAGGCCCACGGGCCACAGTTTGCTGATCTCTCACCACATACTTATAGTAATTTAGGTCCTCCTCATCACTCCTTGCTTCCAGCTGTCAAGCGGAGATATTCCTGGCCTGATTTTTCTCCATGGCTATACTGAAGATAAGGTATGATATATTATAAACACTCAGAAAATAATGTTTTGTATCTGGCTCATCAGCCCCATGTTATCAGCTATATTTTAAGTTCATTTAGTTTAAGAATCATTGAATTTGTCTTTATAAACATTCCATTTCGCATCACACAAAAAGTAAGAATGTTAAGATGAGAGAAGGGACTGTTTTGCATAGTAATTCAGGAACTTTCTTGGTGTCAGAAAATAAGACACATAGAACTGTTTTTATATCAATAATATCTCCATGAAGTATGACAAAAAATGCATATTTAACAAGGTTGGTAAGACAAAACAACAAAGTTTATGATGGCCGGACACACTAACTGCCTTCAGAACATATTTTACTTAAAAAACATTCTATAAACAAAGACATACCAACAAGTTATATTATTTTTTATTCATGTTAGAATTTCTATCAGTGTTTGAACATTAATATTTAGAGAGTTTGTACATTTTCGCCTTCCAGGGTTTAAAATGAGAACCACACTAGGTCACAAATGGTAACTAATACACATTTCACAATTGCTTGGATATTTACTCGATTTCACTCTCTTAACACTGTTAAACATTTTCTTTCCCTTGCTGTACTTTACAATGAAAAGTGTGCCCCACTCATGTCTCAGCAAAGTTCCAGACATTATGGATTCATCACATATAAATTCTTTAAAAATATACTTCTGTCAAAAGACTTGATGACTACTATGTACACTACAAAAATAAATTTTCATATAAATAAATTATATGGCATACTTTTATCTTTGTAATTGAAATGACACAAACCCATTTCCACCAAAATTGGCAGACAATGAGACCCAGTTTGAATATTTCCTTTAAACTTCTTACACTAGAACCTACCATGAGACCTTAAGGAAAATGTTATATACTCTGAACTATTTAACATTAGTAAGCACTCTATACAAATAAAAATTCTGTTCAAAAGTAAAACATAGCTGTAATAGTGTTTCCAATAGAAATAAAAATCCCTGCATTTTTTTTTTTGTTATAAACTGGCATGACAAATACTGTAGGAAAACATTCTTATGATACAAAATTATAAATATCAGCAAAGATTTCTTTAAAAAAATTAAAACATCCAAATGAACAAATAAGACAGACAAAATAAAACTATTTAAGAAAGAGAGAAATTCTAGTTGCCAGCCAGCCCCCTGCTCTCCCTTTGCCAATGTGACAATGGGAGACGGTTCTACACTGTGCAGAAAGCAGGGGCGAGGCGAGCTGTCATGCACCACACACTCGGGCTCAGGAAAGGAGCAAGGGCACGCCGCGAGCCCGAGGGAAGCAGACCTCAGAATTTTGCATCACCCTCCTGAGCGCAGGACATGTAACTTTTCTGAGTAGAGCTGGCTGCTAGGTAGATACACAGTGTGTGGTGAACAGAGGCACCGAACAGTCGCCATGGAGCTCTCGGGGCCCCTGACATATTCACACACACACCTGGCACCCACAGGTGGCTTCCAATTGGTATCTTACAGTTTTGTTACGAGTTTAGAGTCTGAGGTCACTGCACAGCAGGGACTACTGGGGGCCGCTGCCTTTCGATTAAGGTTTTCCATGTGAAATAGGAGGGCGTCATGGGAGCTGCCATTTGTGCACTCCTATAGTAGCTTTGTCTGGGTGCCAAGTGCTTCCCGACATACTGGTCTCTGGCTAAGAGCTGAGGAAGACCAAGCCTCAGAACAAGACAACAGAATTGATACAGAAGCAAACCTTTAAAAGTGGTGCCTGGTTGAGAGATTTGCCTCCATGTCCATTCTACAGAGGACTGCATGCAATTAGCATCTCCCTGCTTGTCAGTAAGTGTCACATTGAAAGAACACTAATAATGGTGAGAGGAAAGAAATGATTTATTTAGGAAGTGTGCACCCATACTGTTAATACAGAGAAGAATCCTTCTAAAGATCATATCCTACACTGCTTCTGACCCCGTATCACCTATTTATCATGCAATTTATTTTTAAAAATGCAAACAGATCCAGAAAGCCCCAACCACCTGTGCAATTTAGGAAGATAGGGAATTTAAATGGTAGGGACTCAAAACATCACCTCTGGGTTTACTGTGCGCCAAGAATGAACAGGTTTTTTTTTTTTTTTTTTTTTTTTTTTTTTTTAACCTGTAGCAGGGTCATCAGCTCCAAAGCATTTTTAATCCACGCTTACATTTTTTGGGGGGTGTGTGTGTGTGTATGTGGGTTGAGAGGTATAATGAAGGCTGCCTAATAACACTCACAGCCCAGCTGAGGCTCTCCCCTAGGCCTATTCTCTAATACTTGAACAATAAAGAGGATGAACAGATGTTAACTCTATACCCTGAGGTTCCAACATCTACCACAAAGATCCACTGAAAGAAGTTATCTCCTCTGAGATGCAAGCTGGGGTGTCTGGATGGCAGCCAATGATCTTAGGGGATGCCCTAGACTTGACATGAGCCTGGCCAAAGGATAAGGCGCTGTTCGGGGTGGCTATCCCCCACCAGCACTAGGTCATAAAATCGTCCCGACTCTTCTAGCCTGACCAGGGCAGAACCCACTAAAGGTTATGGACAGTGAAAGAAAACAAAAAAAGAAAAAAAAATCATAGTACAGTACATCGGGAAATCACACACATGTTCACATACACAGCCAAACAGGAGCATTGCATCCAACTATACCTAGAAGCCACCAGGATTAACGTGCTTTCTTCATATCTGCTCATTAAACAATAACAAAATTACCACGCATAGCGTGTTTGAAAGTTAACAGTAACATTTCATACTACCACAGGGTTGTGATATGCAAATTTAAAATACTTTAAACAGAAACCTTTACAAAATAATCCTATTATATAAGCAATATTTGCATAGAATTATACAGGTAAATTATACAATATTTAAGCAGCAGCAACATATGCTGAAATTTAAGACTAAGTTAAGCTTGGTTGTGGCACGGAGACCAATGTACAAATAGGGAGGGGCCCACTGCAGCTGCCCCACCGCATATTCTGGGCAGCAGTGGAGAAGCCCCAGATCACACTACTTTACATCCATTTCTTCATATTTACATAAGTGTACACTTCTTAAATATTTATAGAAATATTTCACAAAATAATACAATCAGTTACAGTAATAATGGACTGCAGTTCTGGCGCAGTACATCTTTCTAACTCCAAGCAGTTCTCTTCAAGCAGTTTTGGGGGGTAGGGGGGGATTCCAATCTTTGGCCTCTTTGCTTCAGATTTTACTCACCCTTGAAAAGAAGAGAAAAAAAGAAGACAAACTAAATGACAGGTATTATGAGTCTATATTTATGAAGCACACTAATAGGCAAAACGAATTTATGTATAAGAACTCAGGATGGTGGGGGCTTAGTGAGGGCAGGTGGGGTTTTCAGGAGCTGCTCATTATCCTTTCCTTGATCTGAGGGCTGGTGACATGGACGTGTTCACTTTAAACCATTCGCTGAGCTGTGTTTACCATACATACCTGTAGGGCACTTCCATAAAGATTAAAAAATAGGTGAAAGGTACAGCTGTTAGCATCTTTATTAAGTTGCACTAACTCTCAACAGATTAACCAGTGTGGGCAGAGACTCAACTTGGGACAAGATTGGTTCCCCAAAGATGACAGAGCTTATATACAGCAGCATTGCCTTGGAGATCAGAGGTCATTAGCATTCAATTCGGGACATGCCAATGCCAGGGGGCTCCAGGTCCCAGAAACCCCAAGGAGCTTTGCTCTCTGCCCCTCTGGCCTCACACACCTCAGTTGGAGCTGCTGCCCCGGGGCCTCTCCTCGCATTCCACGTCCTGCAGTTCTATGACCTCCACTTTGGAATCCCTCCTCTCGCACCGGACGTTAAAAGGCACATGGGGGTCCTCGAACAGCCGGGGGTCCATCTGGGGGTAGTCCTCATAGCCTGGGCACAGCCCCCCTCGGGGGTTCCTCCCAGGCCCAGGGGCGGGTGGGGGGTGCACAGCAACAGTCACGGATGCTGAGGCTGTCACGGTGGTGATGGGCTGGCAGTAGCTGGGCACGGAGCTGCCCATGGCAGTGAACACTGGGTGCCGAGGGTTGTGAGAGCGGGCTCCCCGGGGGCCCATGCGGTCCCTATTGCTAGGGCCAGAGTGCCCTTCAGTAGACATTTCAAAAGCGTCTCTGCGCGGTCTGTAGGGGGGCGGCCGTGAGCTTTCTCTGGGAGCTTCCCTCTGGGGTTGCTGGCCCAGCCGTCCATGTGGCAGGGACCCTGAGTCCAGGTGGGGCTGCTGTCGAGAGTTTGAGGGAGGGTGATGTCTCACTTCGGGATGGACCACCTGCAGAGGAGGAAGGCAGGTTAAAGCAGGCTGGGAGCTAACTCCAGGGTGGGCATCACCCTGCTACTCCCAGCCTTCCCTTATTGGCTCCAGTTCCTACCTGGCCACCCACTTGCAGCTCTTCTTAACCAAGAACTCAGTCAACCCCATGATGGCTGGGAGAGGCCCAGGGGAGCCAACAGGGGCCTTCCACTCACAAACGAAAAACCCATTCTCTTAGAACCTCCCTGACGTGGCAGAGAAGCACCTTGCCTGGACCCCATGCCCAGGCTTTCACCAACACAGCCGGCTGGACACATACGGCTGCTACCCATAAATGCAGGGCTGTCGCCAGAGAATATCCAAGCAGCCTCCCTCCCACAGTCCACCACCCTGCCCTGCTCAGAAGGGTCAGATCCAAACTCCTCTCTTAAAATTGTGAAGCACCTGGCCCTGGCTCGCCCCAATGCCAGATGCTGGCAGAACTGTCTGTACCTACGCTATCGAATACAGTAGCCATTAGGGACATATACCTATTTACATTTAAATTAACTAAAACTCAAAATTCAGCTTCTCAGTCTCATTAGCCCCATTTCAAGGGCTCAACAGCCACATGTGGCTACAGACAGCATTTACTTCATCACAGAAAAGTTCTATGGGGCAGCACTGCTCTGTCTGGTTGTTAGGAATCTGGTTTCTGGGTCTTTATACAGAGCATGGAGCAACACAGTGGCCACATCAATCAAAAGGACCGTGACCAACTTCAAAGTCGTTCAGCTTGTACCTATTTTTAGGCTCCCGCTGAACAAAACCAGATTCACACTGCAGCTCAGCAGGCTTCACCCCAGGAGGTAAGAGGAGGAAAGTTTAAGTTATTTAGTTGGCCCTTCTCTCTTTCAAGGAAAGCCCACTCTGGCCTGGGCCTGGAATACCCATTTCCTGGAGGGACAGCAGGAGGCTCTTGGTTGGGGGAATATGAACCTTAGAACCTTCCTTGGGTTTTGTGGGCTGTGCTCTAGGCCTGCGGCCTGAGGACAATGTGGGGAGCACAAAACAGAGGACATGTCTGGGGCTCCTGGGCTTGGAGCTTTCCTGAATTACCAAAGCCTAATCTTCTCAGTCACCCAGAATGCGTACTTGGAACCACAAAAGCTTCTGGTAAAATCCTACACAATACTAATGGAAATAATTTTGTACTAAGAGCAATTAAAGGTAAGAGAAGTGGGAGAAAAAAATATATTGCTTCTGCTAGCAATAAAAATCCCATTCCACTTTTTTAAAGATTGTGCTAAAACAATATGCAGCTTTAAGAAAAAAAAAAAAAAAAAAAAAGGCAAGGCCTGCTTTACCACTGGCTCTTCAGCTCAAATTGTACTTAGCCCAACCAAAGTACATGTCGCTGTTTTGTGTACTTACCGTTACTGGCCTTTGCCCTTTTTGATCCATATGAGATCCAACTACATGCAATAGACACTTTTATAGTTTAAGAATAGTCAAATACTGGCAATTTCAAATGATTCTACCTATCCTCTATATTTGTCTTTGCATCCTGTCTGTCAGATTTGCTGCTCAGAGCAGGAAGGGGAGCCCTCAGAGGGTGACTTACAGTGGAACGGGCAAAGACAGGGTTTTCTGTGGCTTCCACGATCACCTGGTGGGCAGGGCCCCCGGTACCCTGCTGGGTCTCGTACTGCCGAAGCTCCTCACTGATGCCTGAAACCGTCGTCTGAGAACTGTACTCTGAGTCAGAGGAGTCAGACCCATTGTTCGCATGACTTGGGGGCACAGCAAACCGGACCACACTGGGAGGCGGCTCAGGGGAAGGGGTGGGTAGCCGATTCAGACCGTTGGCTGGAGATACCTATTTAAGAGGATTCCATATTAAAAGTGCTACCATCCATTTACCTGTTGGTTACCCTCAAAGTTCAAAGAACAGTATTGTTCAGGGGCTTCTGCCCTCTCCCCACAACTAAGCTGTATTGCCCGCCCCTGCAACCCCACGCCACCTTGAGGAAAACCCGAAGGTTGGACAGCTGGAGCAAAAGAAGCACCCTCTGTTTTCACACACTGGAAAGGCAGCCAGGACCCTTTTTACTCTAGTTCAAGCCCAGACAGTCAACTTGAGTGGAAAATGCTTCATTGATATAGACCTATAGGACATAGGCTGCCACACATTTGGTTTTAAGAAAACAAAACAATAAAAACCAGTACTGCAAACCCAAAACTATTACATTGAAGAGAAAAAAGTGATAGTTATTGAGGTGTTTACTGAAAAAGTAAATCATCAGCAATGCGCATATACCTAAATATCTACATGAACAGTGACACCAGGAAAAAGAGCATTCAGGCAGCCTGTGGACTGCCCACTACACCCGGCATAGTGACTGACCTCAGGATATGGTCCGAAGAAGGACAATAGGACTGGAAGCAAAACCAGCCCATTGAGAACACCCAGGATTGTTAGGATTGCCAGGACAGCAAAGAAATACCTTGAAGATAAAAGGGAAACAAATATTCGCTATGGCAAAGATAAATTAAGCTACCATTCAAGTGCCCAAATACTATGGCATATCAGAAACCAAATATTAGCAAGACCCACATAGGTAAAAAGGTTGTTACAAAACTACAGTTCAAATTCAGCAATACTTTTTTTGTGTTTTTGTTTTTACCTTAAGATTTTGAGGGCTGCATTCCACAACCCAAAGTTGGGAGGCAGAAAAATAAATTAGTTTGTTAATTTGCTGATATCTCATGGCATATAATGTTATTTATGAATGTGTTAAACAAACACAAAAATATGGAACGCAAACTGAATGGCTAAGCAGACTGAAAGCACAAATACAATGCAGAGGGGCCCTGTCCATGAAAACCCAGCAGAAGAAAACAAATGAAGTGAAGGGTGTAGAATTTAAACAATTTAGCACAGGAGGAAAAGCAGCCCACTTGTGCAGCAGCTAATCCACTGTGAAATGCTTCTGCATCTGAGAGCAGAATCTCTAAGTCTCCAGTGTATCAGGTAAGGCTTTCCCTGCGCTTTCATTAATCATGACTTTCTGTCTAGAGTTCTGTGAGTTCCAGTTTAACCAAACAGCTCCAATTGCAACCTTTTTAGAATAGGGGAACCAGCTTTCTGCAAAGAAAACACTGCCCATTCTGTGGTTGCTGGGGCGTTTGCGGGGGGAGGGAGGAGGGCGGTCCACAGTGATGGGGCTGCTCTGTGGCCAATCTTTTGTTGAACAATTTAGCATCTCTGAATACTCTTGTTCTGCGTCAGCCAATTCAAACATAAAGGCCGCAGCACCATGAAGAAGAGGAGAGTGTACAAGTGGCCCTACTTTCCCACCGCTGAAGGCTAAGGCCTGGGATCGTTCATGAATACCAAGGTAAACCTGTCAGCTAGGGACAGCCACTGGCGGACAATCCACACACGGGGAAGGGGATGGGACAGATTCCACGCAAGCATGTGTTTCTATAACTGATGATTTCTAGGGCAATTTTGCTGGAAGTGGGCTGGGGTGGGGGAGAGCTTGGGATGTTCTGGGAAGAAGGAGGGCGAGATATCTATCTGTTAATGGTCCTCTTGATCATAAAACAGAACAGGCTCCAAACTTTGCCATTTCTATATATGTTTCGACATTAGATGAAAGCAGAGAGAATCCCTATAAAAATACAAATACCTCGCGGCTATTATAAACACTAGAAACTTCTGAGCTGCATTAGTAAAAGCCAAGCGGCCAACGTCTTGCTCTAATGTAAACTGCGGGAACTTTAGGCGGAGGCATATATCAGCAGCAGGCATTAAGACATTTGCATCCCATCCATCTAACTGTAGAATAAACAGACCAATTAGATTTCTGACGCTTAGTGTATACAACGTCTGCTCATCTAGTCGACCCCAGTGAGGGCTTTATCAGGTTAATCCATCCAGTTCTAGAAAATGGGAAGCCCTTTTAAGTGCTTGAAATAAGAACTCTGATATCTCTGGGACTGAACAAGAAGCAAGGGGTTAAATGAGAGAGCTGGGATTCTGCCCTGCATCCAGGTGCCAGCTGGTTGCTCAGGTTCAGGCTAAGTCTCCTCTGCATGGCTCTCTTGGCTCTGAGATCCCGTCATACCCTGCATTTCCCATGGTTTTGAATGGCCTATGAACTCCTCCCTTCTAAGTTACATGGAGGGGAAGGGGGCCCATATTACTTGCTGTTGTGTGAAATGCACTTACGAGGTGCTTTTCATATTGTGTTGAATGAGAAACTACACAAAAGAAACTCTTTTGACATAGGGCTTTTTATACCATAGAGAAACAACTACTAATGCACGAGTAAATAAATGTGTGCAAAAGAAATAAAGCCAAATTATGCTTTATAATTTAATTTTAATTTTGCCAAAATTATAATTTTGGCAAATTATAAAGCCAAAAGAAAGTCAAATTATGAGCTTAAAGCTCAAACCAAAACGTTATTCTAGTTAAGGCATATATCTATTTGGTATTGGCAAACAAAAATATACTAATTGGCTTGTTAACTGATCAACAATCTCTGTTGACACCAGTGGTATGGGCATCACCTGGGATCTGGCTAGAAATGCAGTCTTCTCTCAACCCTCCCACCCCCAAAGAGAACCAATCCGCATTTCCAGAGAGTCGTGGATGATTCGTAAGCACATTACAGTTTGAGAAGTGTGGCCTATACTGGAATAGGTATTTTACTTCTTCACTCACACTACCAAAATGACAGTGAGCAAACTCTGGCTCTCGTTCTGGGAATGCTAAAGCTCCAAGATGCTGAACCGTCCAATGGGGTATGCCAGCAGACTGATGTGTTTTCCATAATAAACTAGCTAAAACTGAAAACCCTCTTCTTTGTACTTGAAAATGAAAAGCCTATCAAACACACACACACACACACACCCCCAACCCCGCCCCCCCCCGGAAAGCCTATTTGGACTCTTCCCTCCAGTTACTGAAGCAGCATAAACAATCCAGCTATGGCTCACACTGGGTTCTAACCCTGGACTATCGTTTCCTCAGTGATGTTCCTGGCCATCTGCTCCATGGGCTACAATGCTCCCTCCAAGAGTAGCTGCTTCACAAAAAAAAACAGGGGCTCTTCAGATCTCAAATTCTTTTCAAAAGGAAAATTTGCTCTCTTTTCATACTTAACAAAGTCCTATTCTACACTGAATCCACCAGAAACTCCTTGCCTTGAGATCCAAAGAGAAGTATCCAAACTAGGCTTGGATTTTCAAAATTTGACACCAAAGCCAAATATTAAATGCATTCTAAATCTTAGCAGGAACTTGAATCTGAAATCTGGGCATATTATCTTTACTTCTTAAAAGGATAAAACCTAGGTAACAATTTTAGGTATCTGTATGTTTTCCTTGATAACAGTTTTGAAGAAGCAAAGGTCAAATTAAGTCAATTAATGGGAACCATAGTCATCTCTTCCATTTCTAACCTGGAATGCCAATAAATGGAGTGCTGGGTGATCCTTCAGCCTGGAGCTGTGAAGTTGTCTCTGCTGCTGGCCCCAAACCCTCCATGTTTTCTCCCCAAGATGGCCCTAGTGGCGAGCTTGTCTTTATACATCTCAGCATATATCTGAGTTAATAAACTCAAAAGAAAGTGGTGTCACAGATTCTGGTAATCAAAACATGTTGTATACCTTAAATATACATTTTTATTTGTCAATTATAAATTATACCTCAATGACGATAGGGGAAAGTTGAGCCATAATGAAGAAGAAATGCTTGTATCTACCAAATACACAAGGAAATAAGCAACAGAGACCACACAAGCAAATAATGGTAATTTGTCCTACTGCCGCTTACCTGACAATGAAATCAAACTCCGATCCTGCAAGCATCAGCACACCCAGCAGAGTAGAAACAGCCCCATCAAGAACAGGTGCAAACATGTGCTCCAGGGCAAGCACAGCCCTGTGGTTCTTGTCACCAATGGCTGTGAGAAAGGCCTGTGCAGTGAGAAGAGTTGAGATGATCAGAGTCCTGGACTTGACTTGCTAGTGTTCAGCTTTGTCTTCAATTCTGAAAGCTGCTTTAATCTGCCTCCATTGAACCTCTCAGATCTTCCTGTTTAATCAGGATTACTCAACTAGCTAAATCTGGGTTTACATTAAAATGACCTATTCATGACATTGGGTCACTTTTGGTGTTGATGTAAATCTTGAATAGCAACAACAAAACAAGATGGAAAGCATACCTACCTGAAACTAAAAACCAAACCAAAAACTATACAAAAATGAGCAAAATGTTCCCTTTCACTGCTACTCACCCTTGAGTTCTCCCCTCTACTCAAATTCTCTCACTCCATTCACATGGGAGACCTCTAGCTGTGAGAGCAACAGCATTTTGCCTTATTTTTGGACAGTCAAGCTCTTACTTCTGAATGGGCTTAATTAACACGGTGTCACATAAGACTAGGTGCTAAATACTTACTTCCTCATGATTATGCTTAGTTAGGATTTCTGTCACTGTGTCCAAACTACTGTGCTTGTAGTACATCTAAGTACCCAGAGGTATTACAAGAAAAATGCAGAATTATAAATTCAAATTAATACTGCTCTGACTACATGTGGACATATCCTGTCTCCTTTGCGTTCTCTAAAGCTCTTCTAGGCCAAGAATGCTACTTTACTATATAGTAACTTTACAAAGTCCCCGTGTATCAGGCTGTCAAGTTTCACACTGTTGTTGGCTTGAGAAGTGTGATCCAGGACTGATTTAATGTGAGTCAGCTACTGTTATACCTTGCCTGGTCCTAGAGCAGGAACCCAGCGGGGGGGTCTGGGCCTGGCACAGGTTCTCTCTGCCTGAAAGTTCAGGCTGTTCGAAGATATGCTGAGAAGAGAAGGTTAGGAGCTTCTGTAAGGAGCAGCTCCTTAAATACCCAGGGCCACAACACACTGCAGAGTGCATTCCCATTGCTTATGCACTCTGTTGAGGGACAAGAAGGTTCTTTTCCTTAGCGGACCAAGAAACGAAAGAATACCAAGTTGTGCTATGAGTCTCAATCTCTTCTCTTAAGTGGGTTCTATATATGCTTAATTAGGAGACTTCAAGGTCAATCCAGATGCCTTTTTTTTTGGAAGGAAAGTACCAAGTCATTTGGAACCATGTTACTTTGTGCTATACTTGGACCATGAGGCCAAAGGGTCAAGTTGGTTTATCCTCTCACATTCAACCTGAGTTACCGAAACAGCAAACTGCCAGGAACCCTGATTGCTTGAAGACATTCATGGAAGGATGCACTTTACCAACAGCCGTAACTGCCCACTTTAAATAGATGTTCACACATTGGCTAGGGTAAGAATACTGTGTCCTGCGTGCAGATAAGTCTCTGATGAAGATTTGGGCTTGAAGCACTGAACAGTGATTGCTGCTCACTAAGCCAAGCTGCCTCTTGATATTCCTTAAATTCTCGGAATTAAATCTTGCAGGAGCAGTAGAGACATTCCTCAATTGTTTATTCCACCCTGGTGTGGGTACTCATGTTCATACCACCCACGGGCAGAGCCCTGGCTGCCACTCACTGCAGCTTAAAGACTATGCTGTGTACTCCCAATGTTAGAATCTGTTCCAGGACAGATCTGTCAGTGTTTGCGCTGTAAGCTAACAAAATTTCGTTCGCACCACAACAAAAGGACTTGCGAATTCTTAATTCACACACAGTGTTTCCTCCTTTTTGAAGAAATTACATTAGAATTATGTGTTTCTAAGTTCTAGGCTGTTGGGCCTTTCTTCTCTCCCTCCTCCCAGTTCAGTTGAGGAAAGCAATTTGGGAAGGCTCAAAATTTATAGAATAGTGTTTCTGTATTATTGGGTTTTTTGTTATTATACATTGAAATAAAAATGGGCCAACTTCAACAAAATATTCCCTCTGAAACACAAAAGTGCACAAACTCTAAGTTGCATAAAAGCAGCCCCAAGAGACTCGTGTGGAAGGCCTGTGGAGGGTACAAGGCAGAAGCACATGCATAGCCACATATGTGCCATGTGTTGAGCCCAAAGAAAATCAATGCTAGAGACTACCAACATCGTTAAATTCCAATGCTCGATTTCCTAGCTTGGGCATTTCAAACATCAGTATTTATACAGTTAATAAAAATTCACTGCCTACCAGTAACCTACAACTTACATACTACTATGAGGCTTTTGAAGAATTCTCTGATAAATACAGATTGTGGGCATGTCTCTTGGATTTAAGACTCCTTCTTAACTTTAATTTATTCCAACACAGCATTCACAGGACAATGCACGGGAAGAGGGGAAAAACTTTCCTGTGGAGAGCAAACTTTGTTCTTGAACATGGAGTGTGTGAGTGAACAGGCTGAGTTGGAGGGTAGGCCCTCCACGCTGAGCACCCACACCTTCACTCGCTGGCCCCAGGGTTTCTCCACGGCTGCCAACTCACCTCACCTTCAGTTATGTCATCCCCAATGAGCCTCTGAGTATGGTCTCATTTTACTCCTGCTTTACTACTGTGGCTTTTAACACTGTGTGTAGTTGTGCACACATATAACACCACCTGTCCTGGGAACCTTAGGATCTGTGGTGACACTAATGACAACACTAAACAAATAGTATCCTTCCTGGCCTGCTCAAACACACCACCGACACTGCCTACAGCCCAGCACACCTCTGACCTACAGTTCACCTTCGATGACCTTCTCCTTAGATTACCTAAGAGGGAATGGAATCCAGCCACATTCCAGCTACTCCTAGGGAACACATGTGCCAGCCTGAAGCCTTTTCAAAGTGTGTGTATTGGGTGTGTTCCTCAATGTTGGAGAAAATGAAAAGGTTCCCAACTGGGAGACTATGAGAGCTAAAGGAAATATATTGCTTTTTCCTAGAGTTGTAAGTTGGCAATGTCTCCCGTACCAGAGCAACGTGAACGGTGAATTCCACGCCTATGCCGACAGACGCGATCAGGATAACCACAGGCACAGCACTCAGCTTGATTCCAATGAGGCCCATCATGCCAAAGAGCTCTACTGTCATCAAAGCCAGGACTGTCACCTGCAAGAAGGCACAGGGGTGAGTGGCTAGACACAAACACACTCTAGGTATGGGAAACAATGGAGGCGTTAAAGTTCTGATGTGGCCTCACTTCAGATCAAGAGCACGGACTTGCTGTAGCTTCTAACAACTGTCTTTACTTTCCAATTCAACATCTTCTTGCTGGGAAGGGAGACTTTGAGACAATTTTGGGGCGGCAGGACTACATAAAGACAAAGTTTAGTATGCCACTGCCAACTGTTTTTCCAATGTACCTGCTCTAGAAAGCATAAAATTTTCAAAACTCCACTAGAGAATCTAGGAAGATTTATACAAACAAGAACTTATCACTAGCTACAAATATAAAGCAAGGTATTTCTTTCTGCTTTGATTTTAACCATTAGAGACCACCCTTCAACTTTGTAACTGAGCTAATACTTTAGAGTTTTTGGTTGCCTCACCCAGCATCCTAAAGAATGCTGATAGGATGGGGTGAATAAAAGTTCTTTCACCTAAAAGTAGCTTTGCTTTTGTTTGGAGACCATGGACTAAGAGAGGATGACTTGGGAGCAAGTTAAGCCATAGAAAAGAGACTTGTCCACTGATGTGGATCACGTTACAACCCCTTTCACTTTGAAGAAATGTAAGGCAACTGGGGTGGACAAAGCAAACTGTTATATTCAAGGAAAAGCTTTCATTTGCATTTCATCTGCCTTGTAAAAATTTGCGAGGAGATGGAAAGAAAATCTGTAAAGTAGGCCTTGGAGTTTCTTGGGCCAAAGGGGAGAAAATACAAATAAAATAAACTTTACAATGGATAGAAGATGAAAGAAAGATCTTCCCTTCTTGGGGGTGGGGCAGGGGGCAGTGGTGACAGGGAAAGGACAAGTATAGTGAAAGTCTCCTTTGCTTTCTTTCAATAAGCTAATGAAAGATGGACAACATCAATAGCTTAAGTACCATGAAAAGTCCTACAGACTAAACATTTACCTTTTAACATACCTGCCGCACAGACTTATGGTGCAGAAACGAGACCTGGTCTCTGTTTTTATAATTTTGGCATTTTGAAGTCTATACCACAGTTCATGGAATTTAAACACTGCCATGATTTTATTAAGTTCTAAATAAAACTTGTTTCAAATCTGAAAGTACTATATGTGGAGAAAGGATGCCAAAAAATAGATGAGCAATACTAGTTTACCATTTTCTCCCAAGAATTAAAATACACACAACACATACAACCATTTTGTTCTAACTTCTCTAATTATCCCTCTATTTAGCAGAACCTCCTCTTTATTAGGTCTGGGATTATCCCAAAATAACAAGCATTTAAAAAATTAGTCAAGCTTTGAGCATTTGTATTTCATAAATGCTGGAGTCGTTATGGAAAGTGTGCTTAAACAAAAAAGTTTAAAGCTGTAGGGAAAGGGGGCACAGCATTAAGGCCATTAAAGACTCTACCTAACCATGAACCTCACCACCTCCGGCAGAATAAATATAGTGTGGATGATGCAATCTATACCCTCCTCCAGAGGCCCAGACATAAACAAAACTGCCCGGCTGCAGAAAGAGCTATGCTGAAAGGAATTTGACTTCCACAAAGACCCTTAGAATAAACTCACAATGATCCCGGCCGTCCAGGGGTTCAGGAGGAAGACAGCACACACAAGAAACGTGCAGGCCAGCACCACGCTGATGGACAGCAGGAGCCAGTGGCGGAGGCCAATGTACTGCTCCCAGAAGAGGAAGGGGTAGCCATTGGGGTAACTGGAGAGCCCCAGGCTTGTGTAGTTGTTGCAGATGGTTCTGACTTTTTCGATCGCTTCCACGAAATCTGAGGTGTCATGCAAGCCATTGAGGTAGAAAGGAAACTGAGCATATTCGATGGGTTCTGCTGCTGGGACTAGACAGAGAAGGCAAAAGAGAGAGCCATGGGTAAGGGACTCCTTGCAATACTGTGAAAGGCAAACTGATGTGACCCAGGCATGGAAGAGATGTGACAAATTCTTATTGTTGACCATACCAACTCTGTGTCCCCAAATTCTCCATAACTACAATGAACAAAGAAAAGTCCACTGACTGCACCTCTTTCAACATCAAGGGCAAACAATACCAATGACAGCCTTCAGCTCTACAGAATTTTAGTGTTCAGCTTAACATTTTAAAAGCAATAACCAACCTTTGACTGTTTTTTGGAGGGAGCCTGAGATCTGTATATATATTTATTTAACCTTTGATTTCAATGTTCTAGAAGCCGTCACTTTTGTAATGGGTCTAAACAACTTAAGAATTCAATTGTAGGAATTTTTTTTTTTGTTCAACTGACACAAGTGAAAATACTAAGTTCAAACTGTTTCTCTCAATCACTTAGGAGAACAAAATAACTCAGAAGTCATGCTTTACAGAGAAAAATGCTTAACTTTCTTATCCTTTTAGTGATCTAACACACTTAAACCTTCCATGCTTCTTTTCTAATGCAATGCTAAGTCTTCAGCAGCAGGGGAAGAAATCCTTACACAACAAGCATTTAGTTACTGCCGTTGTGTGTTCCAGACCCTTTGGGGTCATTCAGTTGACTTGCTAAACATGATTTGCCCTATTATAATCTCAACTATAAATTTTCATTAAGACAAGCCTTGGCTGCTTGCCACAGGGCTCTGGGGTTTAGATGCAGGACGCACAACCCGCTCACTCTCCAGCCATATTTGCAAAGGAACCTGTCTTCTTTCTCACGTCCTCCCTCGGCTTCACATCCAAGGTATACGCTACTAATATCTCTAAAACAAATGCAAATTAAATCCATACAGAACCACCTTTCAAAGTCAGAGCAGAGAGGGGGAAGGAAGAGGACGCTGCTGTATACAGACTTTCCTGCTCCGGTTTAAACAGCTTTGACAGAGTACAGGTGCTTGGTGGCTTATAGGAATGACCCAACTTGCCAAAAATCCCTTCAACACCAGAGTTGACAAAGTTAAGATAAACACATAATCCCTAGTGATAAAACTTTGCAATAGTAAAATAACACTCAACCTGGGAGCATCCCCAGCTTTCACAGGGAACAGCTGGCATTAAAGAGCTCTGCCTGGTAGATGTCTTCGAGTTAAAGCTACAAATGGAGATTAGAGACTTATTTCTCAATGTGAAAGAGCACGGGTTGTATTCTATTACACGTCCTCATCTGTCTCCTAGAGTTTTAAACTAAAAGAAATAGATTGTCCTGTTTACACTTTTGAACCCTGGGCAGCATCAGAGGACGAAGGCTATGACTGAACTTGGAAGAACAGGGTAAGATGGCTCCAAGCTCCCAGGCCCTGGATACAAGGTACTTACTTCTCAGCCTGGTTTCTGGCATGTAGTCTGCTTTGTCATGGACCCACTCAGGACGGTGAGGTCGGATGTTGGCCTGGGAGGCGGCGTAAGCCACTGGGTCGTTGCTGACCCAAGCGGTCAGGTAGATGTAGAAAGCACTGGGATTAATGATGCCGTCTGCATCCACCAGGCGACGTTTAGTCAACTGCAAAATGGGAAGAGCAGAGGCCTTTCAGAAGGGGGTTTGGGGTAAACACACTCCTGCCTAGGGCAAGAAGAAGCAGAGCCCTGCCCCAGAATTTGTAGCAAAGGCTAGAACGCCCAATGTTTGCAAGTGTAAAAAAAAAAAAAAAAAAAAAAATCCCATCTGAACACCTTGGGTTTCTTTCAAAATTCACTGAACAGAGAATGCAAAAATTAGAGTGTTTATAACACACACACAGTTCTGCAGATGGCCCAGGAATCAACTGAACCAATTAAATCTGAATGCTAAAAGACTGTCTGCAGCCAAGACGGAGAATGAACAATCTGGAGAAACATATTTATAGGAGGGGAAGGGGGGGAAACCTGGCAAGAATCCCTATACACGTCTGTGTGCAGTTAACCTCTGCTGTTAACACTGAAGGAAATGCCACCCAGTAAATGGAGGAGAGCTATAAAAATAAAACAACATCTGTATAAATTTTGCTAACACTAGCCTCCTATGACCTGTGTATTCAAAAAATGCCCATCGCCAGAAAGTGGAGGGAACTGGCACACAGCCATGGTCTCTCTGGGTAATCTTATTTCTGAGAGGTGGTCACAAGCAGGATGCCACATCCTATGCTGGCTCCCTCTAAGGTAGGTCTTGTAGGCTTCGCTTGGGGGAAAAACAGCAAGAGAGATACATACACATGTACACATATATTTTTTCCTATTTACTTTAGATTCAGGCCTGGTTCCAATGCTTTTGGTCTTTTAGCAAAATGAAAACACCAGTGACAACAGTTAACAGACAAAGAGTGAAGGAAGAAAGAGAGTGGAGGAGAATGAGAGAACTAAATTTCAGAGATCTGGATTCAATTAATCCACAGGATATGTAACAACTGTATGTCTTCAAGCCGTCTCTGGAATTACATAGTACAGCTCATGGCCTCCGTGCACGCAGCACCCTTTTCTCCCTCCCAGGCAGAGGAAATGATGTGTGTGTGTGTTAGGGTGGTGGGAGGGGAGGACGGCTGGCCCAATTGCTTTTGTCCCCACGGTGTCCCTAGTCCCTGAAGCCTAACCCAGCCACCGCGTATTCCCTCCATCTCTCAGAGAGGCTCCTATGCCCACACCCTTGTCGACCCTGACAGCGCGCCGCATGCAGCTGTAAAGAACCGAGTTCACACTCCATAATAACTCTGAACAATGTACTTTGTAAATCTGTCACCTTTAATGCCAGCAAAAAAGGGGAGACAATAAACAGAGCTGCTGGGAAGATCATTAGCATGACGGTTTTCTGCCTGAAGGTGAAGCAAGTAAGCTACAAAGAGCAGAGGAAACAGGATCTGGGAAAGCCAGTAGTAGTGTTGGGAGTCATTTGAAATCTGAAGGTCCTGAACACACTCCCCAACACGCCTGAGGAATCAGAAGGGATACACGAGAATCAAAGTGTCACAGTGAAGGTACAAACGCAGTTGGAGCATGATTACCAAACAGCAACAGCTCTTGTTACTAAGAGGCCTGAATCCAATTTTCCAAGGATTTGCATTTCCGTATGTCTCACTCATGACAGAGCAACCTGTCTGTCCTCCTTCTCTACGTCTAGGGCTAGGGCGACCAAGAGAATCAAATGCAACAAATCCTCCTACCCTTCTAATAATCTTTCTGATCTCCTAACCCCTCCATCCCTCCCTCCTAAATTCTAGCCCATTCAGGTGACCACTATCCACCTCTTCTTTTCAAATTTGAATGCAATCAAGACCAATGAGATTACAAACATTAGAATTCGAAGCAAACAATGCAACATGGCATTTCTAACATGGAAAAGTGCCTGCACTGCCTCGACTGTACTTTGCTCTGACAATTGCTCTGGAGGTAGATAAACACACTTGTCCTCACTGGATGGATTAGCCAAGTGAGTCTCTCTGGCCTGCCTGTGGCCACACAACTAGCTGGTTCAAGTAGGATCAAGTGAATTAGAGCCAACGCAATGTTCTTCCAGCCCCTGATACCTCAAGTCCCCGGAAATCACAGGCTGGGATCCCAGGCTGTGAACCACAGCTGTCTCACCTGCGCCCTCCAACCCCCGACCCCTGACCTCCACCCCGGTGTCAGGCAGTGAGAGTACCTGACTGACATCGATGGGTTTATCGCGGCTGCCGGTCTGCACCAGGAGTTTATAGGCAAGGACCCCATCATCTGATCCATTTTTGTAATTGTTTGGCATGATTTTCCCAGTTTCCCAATCACTGTCAAATGCATCCTGAAGTCCTGGAAAAGGCAAGTGTGTGAAATATGTTAGAACCCTTCAGCGGAACGACCCTGGCCCTAACGGGGTGGCTGGGAACTGAGAGCAGGAAAGGGTGCTGTGGGACATCACCAGCACATTCTGTGTTATACTTACATTCGCCTGCAAGTTCAAATGATACTATATTTTTCATGAGTGAACTTCAGGATGCTAATAATCATTGCTTTAAAGATGGAAGGGGAAAATATTTATTTCTAAGAAATAAATATATGTTTTACCTTAAAAAAAAAAACACCCAAAAACCTCCTTTTCTGCCATGACTACTCCAAAAGAAAGTGAGAGGGGAGGGGGAGAGAAAGTGGGGGGAGAGAGAGAACGAGGAAGACACACCAGGCTCATTAACCGTTTCATGCCACTGTCTGGTGCTGAGCCATGGGTTCTTCAATACAACCAGAAATTCCACTGGGAGGGGGAAAAACACATTCAAACTCCCAACTTCAAACAGCAACTCAGCTGCTTCTAGCTCAGGGTGAGTGAACACGATTCTGTCAATTTGTTCCATCTGTTCAACTTGTGGAGCTAATACAAGCTGTGGGATCCGCTGCCAGGTTGTGTAAAGATCACAGCCAACACCTATTCACTCTCGACTGTTCTCTTCCTCTTTGCCACCCTTCCTTAGAAGAGGGGGTGTTGTGGAGGAGAGAGTAGGCAGGGAGCTTGTGCGCGCATGTATGTGCCGGGAAATACCTCACAGGGTAAATTTGGATCAGATTGAGAACAGGAAGCCACAGGCCAATACAAGGGGGCTCTGTGAGAACAGATGACAAACCGCAAGCCCAGGGAGGGGAAGGAAAGAGCATACTGGGTTTGGGGGATGGGCTAGCCCACCGGCCCACCACACACAGCTGCGCTTGGCCTCTGTAATCAAAACCATCATTACAGACCTGACGCTTTGGCTACAGCTGTAAAGAGATAAGCGTGTTGGAAGAGAAAACAGGGCCCTGGTGACCTGGCCGTGGGGTCTGAGCCATCCCAGTGTGCGCACTCTCTCCTCTGACACCTCCACCCCCTTTCCACCTCCCTGCTCCCCCAAAATCACCTCCCAAGTAGAGTTCTGTGCCCCAGCAGCTTAGGAAACCACATCTTTTGAAAAAGCTGTACATGCATGGGTTAGACGTGGCCAGTAAGAAGGAGACGGGTTTATTTCATTTCATGACATGCCTTGAGTGACTTCAAAGACATCCCCCCAAAAAGTGGGTTCCATTAGTGCTCAAAATGGTTAAGATCCTGGGATTTGAAGTGGAGGGAGGGGGGAGCACAGGACCCTGCCTTTGTGTCTTTCTCTTTAAACTAAACCTTCCTTCCGACATTGCTGTGGGCATTGTTTTTATACGAACAATTTGGAGATGAGGACTGTGGATTCAGTGGTGAAAGAAGGCCTTGTTGGGGGGAGCGTGAGGGAGCGTGGGGGAGCAGCGACAATGAGACCACCGGGTCGGCAGGCTTCCAACGCTCACACAGGCTGGTTTTCATAGCAAGGCATGCACACAACAAGCTGTATTAAACAGATGTCATTTTATTACCTAAAGCCTTTTTTTTTTCTGTTTTTGAAAAAAATAAACAGGAGAGGAAAATCAACCCTGCCCCCTAAAAAGAGAGGCCTAATCTGTTTTCCTCACCATAATAGAATTTTCATCACTCCGGGGCTTGAATGGTACCTTAACCCTTTCCCTCTTGACCCATTAATCCTAAGCAGCAGCTTGTGCTTAGTGAGACCTGGGCTGTCTAAGCATTTCATGCAGATTACCTCTAGTTTAATTCCTACAACAGCCTCATGAGATGGCTGTATTAGTACCACTTTACAGGTGAGGAAACTGAGCCTTGCAAAGGTAAAACTGCTTGAAGAAGGCTACCAGCAGGCACATGTCGGAGCTAAGCTCTGCACCCAGGCAGCCTGACTCCATAGCTGGCTTGAGTCACTGATGCTCTAAGTTACTCTGAACACACTATGGTGCCCAGGAAGGATTTGCTGAAAATGCGAGTAAGATTAGTGTAGTTAGTGTGGGCACCAACAACGCCTGGTGGCAAACAGGGGGTATCAAAACTCTGAGTTTAAAGATACTTATGCACTAAGAATTTTGGCACACCATAGAGTGAAACAAAGGAAGAAAGATCCAGTTTGGGGAGGTCCTCCCTGCTGGCAATACAGTTCAACTCATCATCCATGCTGGTGGCCCCCACGTGGCATTCACTCTACTTGGAATGAGAAAACAGTCACTGACTTAATGGAAAAGTTAAGCCCTTATAATTAGTATATTATTTTCTGACTAATTAACAAAAGCTCAAGTAACAATGGTTTGGCCTAAGTGCACATGCAACCCATGATTCTGGGCACGAAACAAGGGACAAGGATTTGCTTCCATTGCCCCTTGGTCAGCATTTTATATGACAACATATGCACACGGTAGAAAAAAACTGTGACATTTTACTTATTTTACAGCAAAACATGAAAAGTTTTAGCTAAAACTTCTCTCACTTTTAATATTTTATGCTAATTATTTCCTGATGAAAAGTTCTGAGCTAACTATCACAACTGCCAATTTTTCTGTGATATGGGACTTTAAAAAGAAAACATTAACTTAAATTTCATTTGCATAATTCAGTGTGAAATATAAACAAACACCATTTGTGTATGATGCACAATGTGGTTTTTGTCTCCCACTTCACCTTACTAGCATGTGTGTTTACAGATGACATGTGGGGTAATTTCTGTATTGCCATTTTACATTTTTATTAATTCAACCCCTCGACTATTGAAATATTGATAAAGACCAGGGGGATGACATGGTTTTCAATGATAATTCCACTAACAATCCACAGGGTTTCCGTTGCTTCACCACCATGCAAAGTGTTTTGAAGGAAAGATGATTCAAGGACAGCTGCTTCCTTGCAGGAAATGTTCAAAGACCAAACCAACCACTCGAGAGGCCTGACGTACCTCTGGGTGGCCAAGGGTCCTAGTACCAGGCCGTTCTGTATTTAGTGCTCTGCTGGGCGTCCTGCCAGTCGGACGTAGTTAGTTCTAAGGCTGGCTGGGACCCTGACTTGGGGCTGGGATCTCACTTGGTCTAGGTGGGTACAGTTCACTTAGCAATGAAAACATGATTCAAATGTGCTTTTAAAAAGGATTCTCAAGTCCGGCTGCTTTCGGTCTTCAAAGGTATGAAAGCATAGAAATAATTCACAACACTCTATAAAAAGGCTAGCCCTCTGCACCGCCTGGCGACAGTCAATACCTCCCGGCCCTCTTCCCAAACTCTGCCTAACATGCCATATACTGAGCATCCAAAGGAATGGCTGGAGACATGGAAATCAATTCTGCAACAACCTTTCTTTGCTCAGAGCCTGGCAGTGCACTACAGACGTCTTTGTCATTTGTGGCAAGCCATTTGCATGTCTTTGGCCAATGGAGGGGAAAAAAATGAAAAGCAGGGAATCTCTCAACTGTCTGATCCTCTTTTGACTCATTATCCCAAAAACACTGCTTCGCAAACTACTGTGAAAAATAAGACTAGAAACAAATTCAAATTAATTTCTTAAGCATGTAAAAAAATATTAGTATCATGTAGTTTTCTTTGCCTTCCTCGAAAAAAGGGGTCAATCTGGTATATATGTAATGAGCAAAATTCTAGGAGCCCAAGTCAAAGCCAGAAACTGTACTGGACAATTTTCAATCAAACTCAAGTTGTTTACCATTCCATGCAGGGAAACTGGCTGCTTAACCTTTACATGCAAGTATATTGACTTAAGACCAAAGAAAAGACACTTAAATCTGTGTTTAAACAAGTCTAATTAAGTGGGAAATTAAGACAATCATTTGGGTAACTTAAGCCAAAAAATGTTGGGGGCCATAATTATTTGGGTATTTCAGTAATAATATTTTTGCTTTAATTGTGTGGATATTCATCTTGATTCTCTACTTCACTTTCCATTGTTGACATAGAATAAATTAACAGATGTTCTTGGAATCACTGAATACATTCACATTCAGTCAGCAGTTAGGAGCAAATTTAGATCTTTTTTTTTTTTTCTCCAGTTGACAACTATTTCTTGGAGATGCTTCTAAGAGTAAGGTAAGAAGCTATAAAAGGCATTTTCTTTAATTTTTAATTGAATTTATTGAGGTGACATTGGTTCGCAAAACCATGCAGGTTTTAAGTGTACAACTCAGTAAAACATCATCCACACACTGCACAGTGTACCCACTGCCCCAAGCAAAGTCTCTTTCAGTCCCCATTCTTCTCCTCCACTTTGCCCACCTCCACCTACCCTATTTTTATGAAATACTGTGAGATGTGATTAAGCATTTGTAAGTTTACTTCATAGCATCTTATGCCAAATCAAAAGATGGTCAAAATATGGAATGTTAAATTATATGCACCAGTGATGCAAAACCTACTGGTGCAGTAGCAGCTATAATTTGGCAGCGACTCAGCCTAGAAATTCCATCAACACTTTGTTTTCACTTGGTCACCCACACTAGAGACCAACCCCCCAAAAAGAACACAAGAAGTACCCAGCTCCATAGTTTATAATGTACTTTCCCATCTCCTAATGTGCACTCATAAATTCTTACAGAAGCTCCCGAGTCAACCAGAGAACCATTTGCATTGTTTTATAGGTAAAAGCCAGTTTTGGGAGGCTGCCCCAGAAACAGTCTATATAAGAATTTGAAGCAACACTTAGAAGTCAATGAAACATGTCAGTGTTACATTATAATCTAACACTTTAATGAAGCAAACAAAAGGAACTTGTGGGAGGTGAACACACCACAGACCAGGTATTTAGAAAGGACAATGCCCTCCAGCAGCACCTTACCTTGGAGCCAGTCTCGGAAGTAGTGCAGCCACATTTTGGGAAGCTGTTTATTTTCTTCCAACATAACATACTTCACATTACTGAAACTCTTGTGAAGGTCATAAAGTAAGTGCTGGATATTCGGGTAGTCTGCTTTCTGGGTGACTATATACATGTTGTAGAAAGAAAAGTATTTGAACTGTGCAGCAATAAAGTCATATTCTCTGGTTTCCCGAGGCACAATGTCTGTAAGGTCCAGTCCGTCGCGCACTCGGGTGGTCCCATAGAGGCTGACCCCAAGCAAGCCCAGGAAAAGAAAGATCACCACAACCTGCAACAGAGTACAGAGCCACGAGGTCAGACCCCAAGGGATGCCACTGACTGTTCATCAGCAAAGAAGCTGTTTGGTTTATGCCTCATGTCTGCCACCATGCTGGCCCTGACATAGCATCAAAGTGTCATTCTCCCAGAGGAAAAAACATAACATCATAATCATCACATTTTTAAACAGCCTCATGAAGAATAAAATGTTTGAAATGCAAGGAGTTGACTTATATTCACAGAAACACTTGCTACCTAGAGATTCACTCCTGTAGAAGATGAGCTCATTGAAATGGTCCCATGTTGTCCCTGGACTGGCCCCTTGGGGGGACTGAACTACCTCACACCCAATGAATTCCCAAGGAACCTGTCTGCTACTGCTTGAAGACAGGAGGAGTGTTCTGTTTGGTAGATTACCTTGGCTTTTGGTTTCAAGAGGAAAGGAGCGTAGTGTTTCTCAGCAAAAGACGACAGTGTCCACTTGGTACAAGGGGGTTCCAGGCAGTGGAAGCCAGAGTCAGAGAACTGGGAGAGCAGGTCCCTTGTGGAGCTGGTGCTCTCGGGGCTCTGGCAGCTGAGGGTGTCCTGCGTCACGGCAACGGGCTGCACGGAGATCTCGGAGAGCGGCTCGGCAGTTGTGTAGTACACATGTGTATGGGGGTCATACTCTGTGCGGAGCTGCACTGTGGACTGCATGGTGATCTGTGTCTCGTGGGCAAAGCTGTGGCTGCTGTAGGGGGGCGGGGGGCTGCAGCGGGTGCCTTCGTGAGCCTCTGTGTAGGCCTGAGGTTCAACCTGAATCACTCTGCTGACACAGGGGCTGAAATAGGGAAAAATATGTTGCAAAGGTCACGGAAACAGGGAAATGGTGCTTGCATTTCTGCCAGTGACTGAAAATATCTAATTCACACAGCTCTGATTAAGGAGAAAAACAACATACTGCGGAACTCCACAAACATCACCTGATTTCTCTATCTGGACACAGACACAAGCAAATCAAAGGACGCCAAATGGATGGCTGGTCCCGAATTTGGCTCACAAAATCAAGTTACATGCTGATGGACGCTTCAAAGCGTAATTCCTTTAAAAACATCTAAACGGCTCTATTTTTTTCTGAATGGGTGGTTTTCAACCTTTATTCTGCCCTGCTCCATAGAGGTAAGACACACTCCTAACAATGAGCAATACTGGTTCATGACAGAAATAAATAATCATGAGTAGCACAACCTCAGGGCTGTGAGGATGTTCGGTCCGAGTGGTGGAGAAGCCCAGGGATTCTGCTACCCCCCCAGGAAGGGCCCTCTGCCCATTATCTCCACTGCCTCCATCACGCTGGTACGAGCTCTGTGAGGTGTGTTTCCTTCCGAGTACACAGACTAAAGCATTCCTAAACACTATCATTCTATCCCCAAGAAATAAAGTCACTGTAGCCAGAAAATGTACCTTGTAAAACAGCAGAAAATATCCAATCTCCTGTCCTCGCGTCGATACAAATCCATGCTGAGAATTGCAGGGAAAATGAGGAGAACCATAGCAAAATTGAAGACCACCACTACAGCCGCCTGGGAGCAGAAAAAAAATGTAGAGGTCACCAATACGTCTCCTCCCAGTCAGAGGGCTGCTTGGAAAATAAAGGTGTTTTAAACATCTTTCTTTCACTTTCTTATTTAAGTGTTTAAACCTGAAATAGATGTTAGAAGTTTCTCATCATTTTGCTTCTCCTTCACCATTAAAAGACCACTTGAGTGGACTATGCCCCATTATCCTGGTCCTTTCCACTGCTAATAATTCCATGAACCTGTAAGGTACAAATATAGAAACAAAACTAGCATCTTGCCAGCAACCAAACTAGACCAAATCTACAAAGGCAGAACAGAGAAGATACTTGATGTGCTTTCATTTAAAACGAAAGGGAACATTTCCCTTTTGCAATATTTCTAAGACTTCATGCAGCCCTGATTTTACACTTAGAAAATTTATATATAAGATGGATTGAGTATATCAAAATGTCACCTTTAAAACATGAAATAAAATTTCAAACACGTCCCCTGAGGTTTTTAATAGGCACATTCCAAATAGCCCCTGGAGCAGCCTGTGGGGTGTGTGAGTGCAGTAACATAAAAGGTCAAGGAGAGTTAAGCAGAAAGAAATTCCTGTGTGTGATTATAGTATGCAGAATAAATAAGTACAGATTCAAAAGTCACTCCATAACCTAGAATAAACATGGGGTAGATTCTGTAGTGCTTTGGCAAATCTCCTGCTGACCTAGTAAAAATTACACAATTGGGCTGTTAATAGAAGAAAGTCAACAGAAGACAGTTGAAAGGCTCTCCAGTTCAAAAAGGCATGGTGAGAAGCAGCACAATAAAGAAATGCAACTGCAATGCTAAGCAACCAAGAAATCATCAGAATTGTGTGTGTGTGTGTGTGTGTGTGTGTGTGTGTGTGACAATTATAACCTCTTGGGAGCTTTTTCAAAGAACTGCTTAATTCTAAAACCTTCTCAGACTGGGTACACATCTCGGGATAAGAGAAGAAAACTGACACCTATCAAAAATCTTGAGAACTTTGCAAAGGGCTTTGGGTGACAACTGAATTTTTGCTCAAGGTGAAATTGCAAACCTGAGTTCTAGATATGCCTTTCAATAATTTATTCCCTGTCAAGTGTACAAAATCAAAAAATAACCAGGAGGCTCCATTTAAAAATTACCTGACCCCTCTCTTCTTAGTCTGCTGTAAAGATTCCTCATCAATACAAAATATATGAACATGTTAACTTAGCACTCTAACATATATAAGGTACTTTAAAGACCTGTAGGATAGGCTTGTATTAATAAGCAAATCGCTACTTTGACTAAAAGAGTTACCTTACAGGTCAGGGTACTATGCTAGGTACTGGAGACGCAAAGATAAATAAGACAAAATCCTGCTCTCAGGGACGGACATAGCCAGACTTATAAACAAATTACAATTTAGGCTGATTAACGTAATAAAAGCATGTACAGGGTTCCATTGCAGCTCAGAAAAGGGAGGGAGTGCACCAGGTGGGGGTACATGTAGGGTGGAATGGGTGGTCAAGGAAAATTCTACAGGGAGATGTAGAAGCCAAAAAAGGACTCTGGCAAGACCCAGAAGGAGGGATGTGCCATGTGGAGGGAACCTGAAAGGTGAAGTCTGAGAGGGACACACCTGGCACAAGCCAATCAGCACTGGTGGGTTTAAAACTCTTAGGGGAAGAGAAAGGGGAAAGGAGAAGCCATGGCAGATTAGGTGGTTATCCATGATTCACTGGATTCCTGCAGCAACCAGGAGGCAGACATTCACGTTGCATCTGATGCTATTATCTAATAAAGACCTGGTAGTGCAGAGGAAGGTCACCTGCCTGAGGTTACCCAGTAAATCGGGTTCAAATGCAGGCTTGGTGCCTATGCACTCAGCCCAACTGAGAACTGGGAGTTCTTGTTAGATCTGGTCACCTATGGTAGGGGGAACATGGGTTGGGGGTGGAGTCCTCACCAATCAGACAATAGGATGTTGGGAAGAATGGAGGCGGAATCCTTTCAGCTTTTCTTTTTTACAGTCAATTTTGGAATTCAGGAGTACAGCGCAGACAAGAAATGCTGGGTATCTCAGTTTGAACAAAATTCCTAAGAACAAGGGCAGAGACTGTGAAGGTAAGCCATGCAGGCGCGCGCGCACACAGGGCCCAGGTGTGCAGCGCAGACAGGACACCAATGCGCTCCATAAGGGCCAGGGAATGTATATGATACCAGCCTCATCCACAGAAGAAATGTGATGAGCATCTTGCTGTCTCTTGGTGGACATGAAGCAATGAGAGAAGAAACCCAAAGCAGCATCCCATCTAAACTCACCATCAAATGTTATTTTCTCATTGTTTTTTCTGATGAGAAGTAACAACTTCAACATCCCCTAAAGTATACCAAAACAGTAAAAACAAACAGCAAGGATTTCTCAGTAAAGAAAAAAGAAGTATCACTCCTGGAGCAAAGGGAAGTTTAAGAAATTTTAAGTAATTCTAAAAAGATGATGGGGAGGATTCTGTACTGTCAATCAATTCTAATTGTGCTTAAAAAGCAATGTCCCTGCAAACATCTATGGTGGCCCTGCTAAGACACTTGCAGAGCACAGAGACAAACTGGCACTACCTAGAGGGGCTCTCATCTAAACCCTCTGACCATTTGGAACAATAAAGCCTTCTTTTCTGGGAGTTTCACTGAAGAACACATCCCATTTAGTTACCAGCAGAGCCCCAGTGCAGGGCACTGATTCCCAAAGAGGTACAGCTGGTGCCACTGCTTTCTGGTACAGGCATGGCATTTGGACAAATGGAGGAAGACTGACAATAAGGTGTGAGACAATTTCTTTGGGGAAAAAAAATTCTATGTATTTTGGTAAGGCTACAAAATTAGAAAAGTTCCATGGGGAAAATTCCTATGTTAACGTAGGTTTATTATTCGACAGAAGCACTTTGGGTTTCTCCCCTTTTTGACGCTTAATCTGTAGCATTCTAAAATGATAAACACAAATGAATACCCACAGTCACAACTTAACACCAGTCGCTAAAGGAAAGAAAAGCTACGTGACAGCTAATTTCAAATGTCAATACATTGAAAAGGGAACCACCATTAAAGTTTCTGAAGATTACTGCAAAACTCATGGTGCTGTCTCTCTTTTCCTTTTTCTCTGACATTTTCTTCTTTTTTAAATTTTTGTTTGACAGAGAATGAGCTGATGTCATAGGAAGCCATTCTTTCCTAAGTGAGGACTCCTAGAAGCTGCAGATGCAATTTTCTAAAGTGATATACTCCAAGTGCCTTGGGACAGAAATGCAAAACCCACAGTACTCATTTCGTTTCAGTCAGGGGCTTACCTTGGAAGAATTTAGCGTACTGGGTTTTCTAAAAGATGTTAGGGAAACTCGTGTAGCGTTTCAGACCACCACACCATAGGATACCATTAAAGGAGAGTATGCCTTGATGAATCACCAGTATATACTGAGAGAGGAGAAGAGAAAATGAGAGAGAGGACAAGACGACAAGCAGGAGCATGAGGCAGAGCAGATAAAGAACAGTGAGGGAGAAGGCAAGCAGGAAGGAGAGGTGGGAGAGAGGGTCCCACTACTAATGACTCTAGAACAATTTCTTATTTCCAGAATCTGCTGCATTTGAAACAGGAATGGGACATAAACGGAAGCTGCACAGATGCACACCTGTGCCAAAAGACATGCTAAAGCTTTAGCTGCACCAATAATTCAGGAGACATTGTTTAGTCATCTTTACTTATCTTCCTTAATTCCTAAGCAGTTAGATGTATTTTCTTTTCCCTGAGCTTTTGTCCGAGTTTCAGATTTAACTCTATCCATTTATTCACCTACTATTTCTATTTTTATATATATTTATAACAAAAATAAACCTTTTTCTATTGTTTTAACTCTCTTTCCTTTTGGGTGCTGGTGGTTATAGTGACTGGTACAACCAAACACTAAATATTAGACAAGCCTAGTGTTCTAAACACAGCAGGATCTTTAGTTGCTTTATCAGTAATTAGTGAAATAAAATTAAAACATAAGGACTAAAAAAGAGCTAATCATGTTGACAAAAAATAGAAACGGAAACCTAATTTATGATTTGTCAATTTCTCTTCTTGGTCACAATCCTTAGAACCTTTTGGTGATTAAAGAGAAGAAAGGAGCACGAATAAGCTGGGGGTAATAACAGCTTAATGAGTGATATCAGAAGCAGTTTCCTTTCAACACCTGACCATCTTGTGAAGTACACATCACATTGTAAGGGAAAAAGATATAAAGAAAGAAAAGGAAAGCTGTTGCTCCTTTCATCTTTTTTGGAAAATAGTTGAAGGTTTAAAATTTAAATGTAGCCCTAATCAATGTGGTTCAGTTGGTTGGGTGTCATTCCACAAAGGGAAAGGTCGCGGGTTCGATTCCTGGACAGGGCATATGCCCAGGCTGTGGGTTCAGTCCCAGGTCAGGGTGCATGCAAGAGGCAACTGATCGATGCTTCTCTCTCACATTGATGCTTCTCTCTCTCTCTTTCTCCCTTGAGCTCTCTCTAAAAATAAATAAAATCTTAAAAAAAATTTAAATGCAATTCACAAACTTCAATAATATCCTTGAGATAGCAAAACCATGAACCATTTCAGGCTTAGGAAGACCTAAGTGGTTGGTCAAGTAGCCGTCTTTATCTGCTGTACCACACACATCAGGACTCCTGGGAGTTCCCGCAGATGGAGAGAAATGCCAGTACTTGGAGCTGACTTACAGCTGCAGCCCTGTCTGCAGAACTCTCCACACTCACAAATCACATAAGATGGCTCTTTGTTTAAAACAGTATCTCGATGGCCTCTAAGTGTGAAAGGGCTGCTTTGGAAGGACAGAGCAGAACAACGTGGGAGCCAAACTGCCCTGCATAAAGAAAGGGGAGAAATTTTGAGTTTTCTTGGGAAGCCTAAGAAAGGGGCTGGGGACCAAAAGAAGAGAAAAAGGGGATAGGACAGTTTGTGGAAGCTAAGGAAAGGAGGTAGCAAGGGCCCATCAGTGAATCCTCCTGCAGGCAGACAATGGCAATACATTCTCATACAGTGGCATTTAATAACTCAATTTTAAGTTATCACCTAGCCTGGGCTACCTCCTCTTTATTGTCAGCTGCCTCGTGTTGGGCTGCTTTAGGGAAACCAGAAGAGAGGGTGGCATGCTTGAGAAGTAAGTGTGGAAACTTAGAGGGAAGTTTAGAAGCAGGGATGGCCAAGAAGTAGGCTGTACCAGGGACGAATGCAGAGGACTCCTGCCTGTCTGGAGTAGGGGCTTACTGGCATTTCCACATGGAGTGGCTCTGGTACCATTTTAATTTAACTATACAAGAAAGGGCAACTCCCTAAGGCACCAGGCTTTGAAGATACCCAGGCTGCAGGCATCTGGGCTTATAGACTTAAAAGAAAGGAAGGAACTCTAAAACTCTTTTTATGGGGGCTGTCAAAGTCATTGCTTAAAGAAGTGTCTGCCCAGAGAAAAGAGCCCCAAATGCCAGGATGCTACTTTATTCATGACAACGGTACCATCAGCACAGCTGTGGCGACACTCAGGGTCAGTGGAGCCCTCACAGATTTAATTGCTGGAAACTCACCTGGAGGGAGAAGGCTCGCAGAGCAGGAATGGGGATCAATGCAGCCATAAAGAAGGCTGTGACGTTGCTGATGGATGTGAGGGCCACGCTGGCTCCTGTGCGCTTGAGGCACTCCCCGGTCCTGTCCTGAGGATGAGAAACCACAGTGCTGAGAGTTGCTCAGGGCAGGGTTTCCTTAGAGCACAGACTGTGTGAATAAGCCCAATACACAACAAAATAAGACAGGTGGGAGCTTGTAATGCTGGCATCAAGGAATAAGAAAGGGATATTCCCGCCTTTCCCCCTAATATGGGCACTGAAAGTGTTTTTGGTACCATCTACATAGTCCTGTGTTGTTCCAAAACACAAAGCTGCAAGATAGCATGATTTAAAAGATGGTGAGGACAACGTGACCCCCCCCCCTCAAAGAAACCCCTCAGAGAAACAAGTGTGCACTTTGAAATACATTTCTTAAGATTCTTCTAACTTACTTTACTTATTTAGAGCCAGTAACATATCATCTGACTTGGGACTCATTTATTTATTGGGGCAGATTGTGAAAAATGAAAGGACAAACACTCAGGAACAAAGGGGGCTCTGGCTGTCCTCAGAGCTTCATTCTTTTGTTTTTCTATTACCTCAAAAGGGATTCTTTTATTCTGTCCTGTTTCACTAAATGCATGTGCCAGGAGGAAAACATCATCCACACCAACACCAAGAGCAAGAAATGGCAAAACCTACAGTGAAAACAGAGGACAGTGAATTAGACATGTGAGCTTCAATTCTGATCATTCTAGAGCTATTTAGAACATTGCCACTAGCACCCCCAATAGCTACCCAAAGGACAGCTGACATTACTCATGTAGAATTTAGTTTTATCCGATAGTTAAATCCCCAAAGTCTAGCAGTTTTAGCTCACAGTACATCTTACATGGTTCTATTTCTGAGCGCCACATACAATGATTTTTTTTAATACAGGAGAAGGAATGTCAGTCATCTGAAGCAGTGGTTCTCAGAGCATGATCCCTGGACCAGCATCAATAGGAACTGGTCAGAAATGCAACTTCTCCACTCCCATCCCCCCAAAAACTGAACAAGACACTCTGGGGTGGGGCCCAGCCATCCGAGTTGTCACAAGCCCTGTTGGTGACTCAAATGCACAATGAGTTGGAGAACCACTGCTCTAGTAGTTGATCCAAATGCCACTGATGCGTGAAGCATGTTTACTTATCATCAAGCCCATTCACATCTTCTGCCCACTGAAAAGTGGGAGCAGTCAATTTAGAGACAGCACTCCCCTGAGAAATGTGGCTCTTGGCAGAAAAAGCTAGAAGACCTTTCAGGTGACATGGACACATAGGAGGCTGGAGCCTGGGGAGGGGTGTTGGTCAACAAAGCGATGGATGGCTCCTTTAGTACCTGAGTTGTTGCTGCGTTAAAGGAAATCCCGATCAATGAGCACAGGCCCAATCCTGCAGCCACTGACAGTGCAACCAACAGGACGCCAGCCAGCCCCACGGCACCCTGGGACTTGGAGCAGTCCCAGCGCAGCATGGTTAAACAGGCATAGGCAAGCTGCAAGCAGACCAGTGGTGGGGAGGGGGGAAGAAAAGGGAGAAGGAGGAGAGGAGACACAAAACAAAAGCCAAACATTAGAATGTGTAAAGATTCTAATGTTTTCTCCCACCCATATCCCCAAATGAAAAGGTAAAACTTATGAAATACAACAAAAATTTACATTACAGACATCACATGAAATGATACAAATCATAGATGGGCAAACCGCTTTACACGATCACTTCTCAAACTGTTATTAAGCCTGAGCTCTCTCTTTCTTAAATGCACATGTGTGTTAAGAGCAGTTAAAAAAGCAGGAGCTGTCGTGGAAAGGTAAAAACCAAAAACCAAAAGAAACCCAAATACCCATGGGTTTTAGGGAACTGAATTGATCGTTACCATCAGTAAGTAGCCACTGGCCACTCGGATGACGCTGACATCGGAGAAAGACTTGAGGATGTCGTCCAGGGTCGTTGTGGTAAAGGAAAGCACCTTCTGAGTGGAGTTCTGGGCGACGCTTTGGTGAACCACCTGTGGTCACAACATAAGGATAAGTCCCAGCTGAAATGAAAGCCTCAACAAGCTTCAAGAGCACAGATGTCAGGGGACACATCCCCGACCCCTTACTATTTTCCTGATTTATTATAGAGTTCTACGTAATGCAGGTTTGAACTTGGACTAACACTAAATGACCCTGGGCCTGGGAGAGTGAAAGTGACCGCTAATCAAGTGAGAATGTGAGGTTGTGGCGAGCCAGTGTCATTGGAGTTCCCTCCCAGAGCTTTGTTTACTCTACATGGAGGACTGTTCCTCCCCTCTCTGTAACTCTACAACTGATTTTCAGTCCCATCAGTTCCCCCTAATGCAAAACAACTCATTCTTATGGGCACACCCCCTCCCCTTCATTTGCTGGCCACCTTTAAAAGGTCACATGCAGCTCAGTAGAGGTCACTGCTTGGGAAACAAAGGCCAGCTCCTGTCACATGACCTAACCAAGGGAACTGCAGCTGTGAACAGATTCTATGCCTTGCTAATGTTTTCCAGACACCTTTTCTTGCTAACCAAGTGCCTTTTCAAACACCGTTAGGTCTCAACTCCAGAGTTCACAACTGCTTACTCAAAATGTTTCAGGGCACCCCAATTAGCATTAGTGTCACCCAGACACTAAGATTTTCAGTATCAAGAAAAAGGGAAAAAGTTTTCATCACACAAGTTCCCAGAATTACAGTGTGTTTTGAAAATAAATCCTAATGAAAGAAAAAAGTTTTAAAATGTCATTCAAATGAAGTATTTAGGAACTAAAGGGCTTGTACCCGGATTCTACGGTGGGTGTAGGAACACTGGCAATTTACCTCCACATAGGTCCTCTGCCAAGCCTCCAGGATGGCTGCTGCTTTGTCCTCATTCCAGTTGATGTGTGAGACATACTCGTACCCCTTGAAGTGTTCGTACATCTGCTTGGGAGTCATTAACTGAAACATGGTCTGCAAGGCGTGGGCACTGCGACGAAGTGGTAGTAGGGGAGAGGGCACAGATCAGCACCCCCAGGAAGCAGCTCTCACTGTGTAAACTCCCAAATGAGTGCCCCTAACTCACTCACAGTCATTCTATCCTTCTGCACGAGCACATGTTTCCATTAAAACTGGACCTGAATGGTTATTTTATTTAATAGATTGATGTACCATATTAAAGGTGTAACCTTACAAACCTTTTACAGATAGACCCCAAAATTAAATTAATAGGCAATTTCCTTTCTCAGTCTCTACTCAATGAAACAGGAAGGGTAGAGGAGTAGATAGCTTGACCAGATATGCTGGGCTCACGCCTGCACACTCATTTGTGCAGAAATCCCAGACGACGGCTTTCCCGAGGGAGGACCTCAGGCGGAGCGCCTGACGCGTGAAGGAACGGAGTGCACAGAGGATAACTCTTGGTTAGCCGTTATTTGCTGGTCTTTCTCTTTAACAGGCTACAATGGAGTTTAACTCCTACCACGGAACTCTATATGCTATGATCAGTGTCTCTTGCCTGCTTTACACCTGCCCTAATATTCTATATAATGGGCTGATCTAAAATCCTATAGTCACCAATTATAGTCTTGATGAAAATGACAAAAATGTTCTCGAAAAATTCCCCTCCAGGTACCTTTTCAGGCTGGTCTGATCTGCTATTATTTCCTAGCTAGGGTAACAGTTAAGTATTAATATGAATACACTTGCAGATGTCAGAAGGAAAGTGGTTTCTTAGGACAGGATGAAAATGAGATGGCTTGAATTTCCCTGTGTACTGGATTACCTGACAAGCTTCCCAGTGCTGTTCTTGACTGTGCCACCAACAATCAGCTCCTCCTGCCAGTGCATATACTTCCTGGATAACCCATGACATCCACCATTCAAAACAAGGGCCATATCAAGAGGCTAAAACAGAAAGACAGCCACATAATTGGGGGAATTAGCAGGCAGGTCACATGCCTTGTTAAAATCTAGTGCATTCAGGGCTTGTTTGTTTCAGAGAGAACATTAAAAACAAGGCTAGTAAGAGGCGTATAGTAAATCTTACAGCAAAATTTTGCTTTATAAACAAAGTTCCATACACAAATAAAGTTATTGAGAATAAAATCTTAAAAATGAAAATAATAAAATGAAAAATGGAAATGGGGGGGAAAACATCAACATTTTCTCCTTGCCCATCCTGAGAAGAATCACTGAGGTACTCACTTTGGTTGCATTTTTGTTGGGGGCTGTGGCAGGGCAGTCTGGATCAGCAGGATTGAGGCAGGGCCGGTCCATGTAACCATGACCAACTTCAGCCTTATTCAGCATTTCCTCCCAGCTGTCCACTTGATAGTTTATTTTCTTTAACTCTTCTAGGAATTCCAAAGGGTCAAAGTTTGTCCACTGCAAAGGAGGTTTACCTCTGTGAAAGAAATTAGGAGGCAAGACAATGAAAAGAGGCTTCCAAATGCTTAGTAAAATAATAAGGCGGCATATAGTGCACGTACTACATGCAATTACAAGAGGCTTTCTTGGTACTGAAATAACGCTGCCATTCTGGGATCCCGCCATAAAGAACAAATGCACCTTTTGGGTCTATCTGTATGCAAACTTAAGTCAGGAAAATAATTCCTATGAATTATTTCAATCGACGAAGGTGGCAAGCAAAGAGCTAATAAATGAATGAAGGCACAAAGAATCTTTCCTTGCTGATACCTTGTATTTTAATACCTAAAAACAAAATTAGCCAGTGAGGCTTCTAAACAGAAGACTGAGATTCAAAATTAAGAGGGGGAAAAAAAAGAGGGAATCACAATATCAAATTAGCACTTGCTGGCCTAATAACTGCTTTGTAAATGTCATCGATCAGAATATTTGATCTCCATTACCTATAATAATCCCATGCTTATGAGCTCCCTCTGACAGCCTGGCAGTCAACCCCATAAGCCCCTGCTGCCTCTGCCATCGCCGCCATCAAGGCCACTTCCCCCCACACTCACTTTTGAATTTGTGCTGTTGACAGACCAGAAAGGCTTTTGGCTGCCTGTTATGTGGTTCAAACCACACTGTAGCTGCTTAACCAGGCTGAAGTCATTATTCAGAATCTCCCAACCAGAAAACACAAAACCCCTTATTTCCCATCTAAAACTGTACACTGAAGGTCAGGGTATGGCCACTGCAAATTGCTTTTGCAGATATGTGCAAGCTAGGACAGAAACAATAACCCAAGCACTAACTCTTACATAATTAACTGAAAATGTCAACACTGATTAACAATTATTCTTTAAATGATGCGGTATATAAAATATCCAACTGCTAAACCGAAGCATTCACTACCAGGGCCTTGAAAGATAGCAGATTTCCTCCTTATATGTCATTAATGTGATCCAAAAAAGGTTAGCATTTTACTCCATGGGAAGATCTTGAACTTCAACTCAAAATATTTAGCTCTGACATGTACCAACTAATAAATTCCCTCCTTACAGATAAGCTTGAGTGCGGTCTGCAAAACTGCAAACATTTTAAAGAGTTAAAAATCACACATACTCTGAAACCATTTGCATTTTTATTTGCATATAAATAGACTGGTAAAAGTGAATGAAATTTAATGATGCCTACAGAACTTTTTTTTTGAAAAGAGGAAAAATATTCTGCTGAAACCCCCTTCCCCCAACTATTCACTCAAAAAATGCACACGGAATTTCAATGTTTTTATTTCTTGTTCAAAACTGAAACAGAATAACCAATGATAAAATACCATCAGAAACATTCTAGAGCTTAGAAATCACAGACATCAGGAAACAAGATCATAACACTTACAGCAGGTATGCTGTCCCAGATTGTAACTTGGCGCCTTCCCAGAAGCAGTCCAAAGGTGTAATAATTAAACAAGGGTAAAGATATTCTATTATCTGTCAAAGTTAAAAAGGATAGGCCATGCATTAGGCTAATGCATACCACTGGAGCATTTTTTAGAATTTTCTTTGTAAACCAAAAGAAAATATACCTGATCCATGTAACCTGTTTCTGTGATAAGTTCTCCGGATTTGTAACACAAATGTTCCAATTTCCACTGCCTGGGAAAGGGCAGAGACAAAAATTCCTCATTGTAATAAAGTAAGGAAATCCATGCAGAATTAGAACTATAGAACATATAGAAAGAACCACAATTTCGATCACTTTTAAGTATGTCAAACCGAGCAGAGCTTTTGCCAAACAGAGACCCAACAAGCTTGCTTTAATGAGTAGATAATACTCAACTGTAATTAACATGTGGGTGTTTATGTAAATGAATGCCATCAAAGTACTTGAGAAGTCCTGATTTTTTTAGTATTCTCCCAATAATCTTGTTTACACTATTAATCTGCTTTTCCACATACATTAAACAGCTTCAGGGCAAATAATTTGGAGTTGAATTATCACAAATTCAATATAATTGGGGACTAAATCAGTCAGGCTTATAACATATTAACATATATTCAGGTGAGAAAATAGTACTGCCTTTTTTTTTTTTTTACTGGCAGATAATGGCCTTATTAACAGTGTTCAGAATGAACTTTCCTACTCTTAACCGTGTATCGGTGTTGTAAACAATGCCCGGTAGGTCCATTTCCCACTTTATAGTCTTCCCTTCTTGTCCTATAGAAATGATATTAAATATACTGACCTACAGTTACCTTTTAGCTATCATATAAGTATTATTACAGAGTTCTGGCATCCCTTGAAGAGTGCTATATAGGTCCATGTCTTTAGGGAGATAAGTCTAACTGGAAAAAAGAAAATTTAGAAATGGTAGGGGAGGGAAATCCAAGACAAAAAAAAAACAGAAATAAAAAAACTCCTTCTAAACTGCTCTATTTTATTGGTCACGCAAAGGAACATTCTGGATTTGCCTTCCTCCCCCATGGAATCTGCCCATACATTGCTCAGAACCCCACTAAAACGCCACCTTCCTGCTAAGCTTTCTTTGACCAGTGCTATTAAGAATGACCCCCTTCTCTTGAGCAGTGGGTGGTCAGGTCTCCTGCTTGACACCTGGAGCACCTGCTGTGGGCACTGCCTCTGTCTGGCTGTGTACATGCTTATCCATATTGATGTCTTTCTTCTCCCTAATTAAACTGTCGGCTGCTGAGAGCAGGACCCAAGTTATCAATCCATTCGTCCATCTATCCATCCACACCCACCCATCTATGTAAATGTTTATATTTAATTCCATATAGCATCAACACAGACTAGTACAAGTTAAGTCCTCACTTAATATCACTTGATCAATTAACTCTTCTTTACACTTGCTTGAGAAGAGCCTGGCTGTGTTTAGAAAAAACACTGCGCCTGGAGACATAAGGAAGGGCATGAAACCTGGCTATACTATTTAACAACTGTATGAACTTGGACAGATGCTCTAATCAATCTAATTCCCAATTTTCTCACCCCAAAATGAGATAGGTTGAACTAGGTATTCTTTAAAAAGTTCATACATAAAAGTTCTCTGGTTTCATCTCAGCTTAAGAGTGTTATTTCATTGTACAGCGGCTTTCACCTTCTCCAAAAGTAAATGACAAGCCCCTCCACCCCTCCAAAGTAGGTTCCAGATACAAATGCAGCTGGCATGCTCACAGTGGCCTGAGGACACCCGTTTCCACTTGTATATGTTACAAATTGCACTGGTTAGTTGCTTTCCCTACAAAGCTCCTGACAGACTGGGAGGGCTGCGCTGGTAAGAGCTGGGATGTGCTCTCCATCCAAGTTTGCCTGACAAAAGCGCTAAAATACATCTCCTTACATTTTTCAAAACTCTTTCATGTATACATGTACCTGATCTTGTTCTGGGAACCTCCTGAGAATAATAGAGCAAACGTGATCATAACTTAGTTTACAGATGAGGAACCAAGAATGTACTAAAGATGTATGACTTGTCCCACATCATGTTGGGTCCTAGAATCCTGTCTGCAGCCAGATGGGTCTTAGAGCCAATCCAATCAAGTCCATGCAGAGTTGAGGTTACAGCAGAGACAAGTACAGATTTTCATTTTATTCTCCCTCATTCTCCCCAGCCACTGAATATGTCTATGTTGCCACTTCCTCACCTCCTCTGTGAAAAATAAATCACACTTGCCAACCACTCAGTTAAGAGGTGTTGAAAGCCTACGGGGACAGGATGGAGTTATATAAATGTCAACTCAGTGGTCCCCTGGAAATGGGGTTTAGTGATAGTTATCTCAACGGTTCAGGGAGAAAATCCAGTTAAATTCAATTCATGCGGTTGGTCAGTCAACAAATTCCGAGTGCCTGCCCTGACCTAAATGCTGTACAAGAATGGACAAGATGTGGGCCCTGCCTTGATCTCTCACAGTTTAGAGAGATAAGAAAAAGTGCTGTTAGTTTTTTCCAGAACTCTTTCTGTGCTTTATTAACACAAAACATTGTTAAATTAGCTATGAAGCTAAGGGTGATATTTTGTAAAGCTGTGTATGAGTTTACATTATTCCACCTACCTGTCAGCAGGAATTCGCTATAGATGCTCAACCTCCTCTTCGCTTTCTGACACAAAGCAACAACTGTCAGGTCTATTCTTATTCCTTGCTAGTTGGCCAAAGGCAATTCAAAATCTAACTGTTCTAAAAACATTTTAGGTAATGAAACATCTTCAGAATAGGAGTATAGCCACCCAAGGGCTGCTTTAAGGATCATATGCATTTGGGTAGAGTGCCAAAATCCCTACTGAAAATACATTGCAAAATCATGAATCTGACTGGTTACCAAACTCTAGAAATGAATCAAGACTAAAAAAAAAAAAAAAATCATTTCGTTAAAATGCTATTTGAACTAACACCCCACGTGTATTTCCAGGACAGTCTTATTTACTAAAATAAAGGGCCCTAAGGCCAGCAGCCTCACCCCACCCCTTACCTGTTGTACATGTATACGTGGACCCGGCTGGCCTGGAGTGCCGAGTCCAGGTGTTGGCGGAGTGCTTCTGCGGTCAGGACATTAGCACCTTCTTCTTTCGGAGTCTGAATCATGAGTTGAGGATTAAACATAGCCTCTTCTCCAATCTTCTGGCGAGTATAATTTAATTCACGACTTACTCGTCCACCAACTGACAAACACACAAGTTTCAATTAGAACAGCAAAATCTCCAAATTCATGTTTTATCTGCTACTTCATTGAGAAGCAGAGGACACATGATAAACTGTGGTTATAAAAATGTGTGGCTGATGTTTGAGGAGTAAGTCATGCTATTGTTATGAGCAATGTTTAACTTTACCAATAATAAACAGAAAAAATACTCACTAAAACCATTAAGGACTACCCTGTCATACACAAACCTAATCTAATGCATGTGTCGTGGAAACCTAACCCATGAGTGCTTTGTGCACCTTCTAACTAAAGTACTGTATGTAGAAAGGGGGTAGGAGCCCAGAAAACTTGAGGCATCTTTTCCTTGCAGACCAGACCAGACCAGATACCGCTGTTACAATTTCTTTCATTTGTATAAACAATGAATCCCTACAGCACATTTCAAGATAAATGGCTTCAATTTACACCCTTCTCCTAAATAATCTGGCAAAGGTAACAAGTTAATGCTTCTCCTTGTAGGAAAAGAAACAAGGAAAGGTGACAAATGTGTATTCAGCAAAATACTTGCCAGGAGAAAATGAATATGGGGACCCGAGTCAGATGCACTCAGAGAAACCCTGCTGGAGAGGAACCAAATATATCAGCCGTAGTAGGTGTCTTGGGCAGGCCCTGGAACCTGGTTCTATCAGCCTCACCTGGTGAGCATCCAGAAAAAATAGGTGCCAGGCTGAGCCATCTGTGTTCTGGGAGCTCCCTGGGTAATTCTGAACCTACGGACGAAGCCAGAACCTCTGCCCCAGCACCACCCCTACACCCCAGAAGGCAGCAAAAGCCTGGCGTGCTGGAGGCCAGTGCCACTGGGCACAGTGACGTTGCTGCAAACTACTTTTGTCTTCCTCAGGTTCTAGGTTGTATTTCAGTTACGGTCTTAAAACAAGCCAGGCTCAGAATGCTGCACCTGGCTAGGAAGTATGGCTGTGTTTCATTTCTCAATGGGGCAGGCGTGTGGGGAGCCGAGTTATGAGGTAAAACTCTGGAGGATGCTTTGATCCCATGCAGTGAAGGGGGCTGTGAGAGAAGGGGCTGGGAGCAGCAGCAAACAGAGAATTCTAGAGCCTCCTCCCTACACATTCTCCAGGGCCCAGAGTGAGTCTGAGAGTGCCTACAGGCACTGATAGTGAGTGTTCGCCTAGGGGCAGGCCTTCAGCTGTATTGTTCAGAAAGAGCCTTCAGTGATCACTGCAGATTTCCCACGAGGAAGAATCCTTTTTCTTGAGGTTTAGTATTCAAGGACATAAACATTTTGTTCGGGCAAGCAAATGAGTACTGGGAACTGAGGGTTGTTTAGTTCTTTTGGCATATTTTATAAACAAGAGGGCAGGCTAAACAGCAAATAATGCCCTCAATAGGAAAATGAGAACAGATTTACAAACCAGCAAGGTCATCTGGGCAGGTTCCTGCAGATGGCCCAGGCCACCTCGGAACTCCGTGAGGTGAGGTCCAAAAGATTGTGTGTGTCAGTCAGAGAGAGGGAGGGGGTGGGGAAGGGGAGATAGGCGGGAAGGGAAATTATTGACCTACCTAAAGAATTAAGACTTCTCCAGCAGAAGTTTGACAAATGCCCTAGGGTATTACGGAGGAGTGTGCCATCAATATGAAGTTCAAGAAAGACCACAGGAAAACGTAGGAAACAACTTGCAATTCAGGACCAATTTACATAATGCTACAGGCCCTTTTCAGGATGCTTTGGCTCCTCTGGCAGAAATCACAATGCTTTACTATAACCAATTAACTAGTGAGCTGAATTACACTCAATCCCACCTTCTCAAGAGACAGAAAAGTAGTTTGAGGCTAAAAAGTCATTTATTAGCCCAGAGGTCACTTCTGAAAAGCTACAGCACACCAAGGAGCTCCAAATAGCCTTTCTGGAAAAAAGCTCAGCCTCTTCCCTTTTTCTCTGGCTCTGTGACACCACTGCCCCACACCTATAAATCATTTATATTTGCACCAGCCTCCTCAAACATTGGCTAGCACAGGATTTCTTATTCTGCTAACAAAAGTTGTCCTTCCTTTTACCTTTACTGAAGCTGAAAACTTTAGGTGACTTAAGACCTTAAGGTAAAAACAAACAGAACAGGCCCACAGGCCTCTCTTCCCAACCTTATTAGCAGAGCAGCGGCCTGAAGTTATAACCAAGAAGATGACGACCCCAGGGAGGAGCACACACAGGAAAAATCAGATGCAAAATTCCTGCAACTGACAACTTGGACTACACTCTTCCAGGCCAAATCTCATAATAGATCAATTACTTTATTACAGGTGATTTCAGAAATGATGCTATTTCCTACAAGATATAAAATAAAATGTACCTCAGGGGCTCATAATGTCACCTTTTTAGATGTTTCAAGATGTATATTTAAATAAACGCACGCATTTTAATAAAGGTGTACATTTTCAGGTCTCTGGAATTGAAACCTTTTTTTTCTTCCATCTCTTTGCTCATTTTGCTAATGAGACAACCAGTTTCACCCAAGGTAAGACTATTATCTAGGTGGACTGAGCAACTGTAGTTGAAAGACCCTGAATTCTAAAGCTTCCTCAACCACTTATGCTGCTTCCTACCTTTGACTATTATTAAATTCCATTTATTTTTACATATTACGTGGCCATATTCTGCTTAACATTTCACCTTATATTTAACTAAACAGGAATTATTTTTGCAAAACTATTCAGCAATTTTTTTTAAAAAAGTTTAGTTGACATCGACTTTACTCGACAAATGGTCCTAACACCATTTGTTCACCTGCTGGGCGTTTAGGGGTGTGCGCTGTGTGCTATGCCATGGGTGCTGTGGTGGATTGCACCAGAGTGCTCTTCGCTCCAGAGGCTCCCTGGTCAGTGAAGCAAACACGCCACAGACAAGCAAAGCAATAAAATAATCTCATGGCATGACAAGTGTCATGGAGGAAAGGAAGATAGTGATGCCTTTTGAGTTACTGGGTGGTAGGGTAAGAGCAGACCAGCTCCAATGAAGTGGACAAGGAAGAGTTCAAAGGAAGTAACTTTGAAGAGCTGGGAGAAGAGTGTTCTGGGCAGAGGAGCTGGCAACTGCAAAGCCCTCAGGTTTGGCTTCTGCAGGGAGAGAAAGGAGGCGAGTGTGGCTGGAACTTGGCGACACCATGACAATGTCATTCACTTGGTTGCAATGGTAGGTACGCTTAGCTCCTTCTCAGGTGTACCTGTGCCATAAACTACACGGCGTTTCTGTGATCTTACATCACTACTCACCCAGGGTGCTCTGGAACAAGCTACCAGAAAGGGGAAATCCTCTGGACAGCTCAATTTTATGGAGTCACCTGACTTGCTACCTCAGCACATGCTCCTGTCCTAAATCGTAGCTGAGTGACAACCAAAGCTGTTCCTTACATTGATGGCTTCTTTATCACGCACCAGTGTGAAGCTTGGCTTTCGGAAAGCCCCACAGAATCCATTTCAAGGGACTGAAATTACGGGTGTGATCTGGGGAAAATGATTTTCATCTCTTTCAAGATCAAAGACTCCCTCTATTATTTTTAAAATAATTGAATGTTCATAAAATACTGCATAGTCATTTTTGACTACTGAGCAGAATGAACCATAAGATCTGGTATTTATGATGCAGATGTAGGAATACTGATAGATATGTAAACAGCCATGATTGCTGTGTAGTGGTTTTATGTGTACTAGTCATCTTCCCATTTTTGGGTTTATCTCTATTTTTTAATTTTTCTGGAGTAAACATGTATAATTAAAGATTTCTACGTGACAAGAGAAAAACACATGAAAACATTTGATGGCTACTTGGTGGGAATATCAATTAAAAATAAGCTCAATGCAAAAATAACATGCATCTCTATCATATTCTGAGTCCTCACATTCCTTTCATTCTCCAATAAAATAAGAACCATCCTCTTAGAACAAGGCTCAGAAAAAAGTCATCTCAGGATCCTGGGACATAAAATAACCTTAATACATGTGTGGTGCTTTCCACCTGCAAAGCCCTTTTGAATTCATTATGTACTTATTTATAAATATTTTGCTCAGTGCCACTCCCCCATCAAATTGGGAAAAACTGGACTGGACAGGTGATGAGAATGGGGAGCAGAAGACCAGGGGGTTCGGAGTGCCAGCCCTTCCACCTCTGGTACTGAGATTTGAGGTGAGTCCATGATACAGTTAAACCTCAACAATAATGTGAAATTTCCCAAACCCTTAACCAGTAGCTGAGGTGTCCATTCATTTATTCATTTATTGCAGGGTATGTATGGATCTGCATATCACAGAGGAGAAGGTATAGCTGCAGCGTTTGGGTGACTACAGAGTTGGCTACCCCGGTTACAGGAGGCAGAATCAACCCTGTAACCCTGAGTCCACCTGCCCTTCGAGTCTTGTGGCTTCTGAGCACCAGCAGAGGATACAAGTCTAAGAGCACCAAATCCCGCACACCAGACTATAGGAGGCTCATAGCAAGATCTCTTAGAATACATGAAAGTATTACACAGGGCAAAGTTGCATCCAGATTTTTCACCATCGCTGAGGGGATAGTTTTGCAAGTAGAGCCCCATGGGTGGCAGCGGATAGGCCCCATTTTCTTTCTGGTCCCAGATGGGCAGAGAGATGAGGACACACAGGGAACAAGTAGCCCTAAGCCTCTTTATCTGCAAATGCCAACCGTCTTGTTCTCCAGAAATCTGAGGCTTGAACGAATTCTTTGAAAGAAGTAGGTTAAAGAGCATCACTTCTGCAAAGCTGTTTTTTTTTTTTTTAATTTATTTACTTTTTAAATACATTTGTCTCTGCCTCCCCCCCACCTCTTTCCCTTGCCCCCTCCCACCTTCCCTCCCTCAGCTCTTCCCCTTTGGTTTTGTCCATGAGTCCTTGCTATATGTTCCTTGACTTTCCCCTTCCCTTCCCTTTCTCTGCTCCCCCCCCTCCCTCTTGTCTCTGTTGATTTCTTTTCCTTTCAGTGTTGCTGGTCAT